TTCAGTCCTCGACCGCAGTTGCCCAAACGCCTCTCAGAACTGTTATTCATTCAAACCGGCTGGTGCTCGGTCTACACTCACACGGTCCTTCAACAAAAGGGAAATTGTCCGTGAGCCTACATCTGTATGACTCCCTGTGTCAATCTCCGTCTCACCACGGAACTGCGTATCCCTTCTCCGACCCTTGACGACCGTTACGGGGTTGTCCATAAACCGAAGCATGTCAGTGCGATGATGGCAGGCACTGTCATACCCAGTGAGATGGCACTCCCGCAACTATTCTCTCCAGAATCTCGACCGCAACCCCTCGCCCGCTCATGCCTGTAGCCACGACTTCGAGCAGTTCCCATCCGGCCACGTCTCTGGGATGAACTCTTCCGTACCCAATAAATTTTCGCTCAGATTTGGCTAGCCTGGCTTTCCTGCTGCAATTTCGACTTGCCTGTTGCACAAGTTCAAATCCGTATACGCAGTTCAGGTCGCCCTATGTATTAGGAACTTGCCCCCATCCAACCTATTCCCCTGCACCTGACATCCCTACAACAGTGCAACCAGTGAGCCTGCTTGCTTTCAGATTAAACCACATTTTTGAGACAAAACTTGACATGTGCTCCCAATCTGAATCAACCCATCTCCATTTCCACTGTTGCTCGTTGTGACTCCGGCCATTTACCTAACCGCCCAAGGTCACTCATGGCCAGCAATGGTTTTCAGTTTTAGTTCATGCCACCTGACTGTCTTTCATCTAGTCGAACCTCATGCCCATTTTTCCCAACAAGTTGAGAATAACCTATTATTGCTATATCATCAGGTGTTCCCCACCGTTTGTGACATTGTCCTCTTTTTGTGCAATCCGTGCCCCCACAAATCCCTCAGTCATGCTCCATTCTGACTGTAAAACTATGATCATGCCAGAGGGTATGCCACCCACACGTTGGGAATAAACATTATTATTATTATTAGATCTCCTTACTTCCAGCAATCTGATATCTCCAGCCCAACACGGATTTCTCCCAAACTGCTCTTGCGTGACAAACACGCTCGTGTTTACGGTCAGCTTAACCCAAGCCAAGGACGAAGGGCTCATATCGAATGCCATATTTTTCGACTTCTCAAAAGCATTTGATAGGGTCCCACACGTCCCGCTGCTTCACAAACTGGAGTCTTACGGGATTCAAGGGAAAATCCTTCGCTGGATCAAGGAGTTCCTATCAGACAGATCATTCCGAGTGAGAATAGGCACGGCCTACTCCCCTCCAGCGCCGGTCTCCATTGGAGTTCCTCAAGGATCCGTCTTGGGACCACTCATGTTTCTGATCTACCTCAACGACCTCCCAGACGTTCTTGCGAGTCTACGTCTACTTTTGCGGACGACCTGAAATCCTGGAGTTCTAATGCCAGTGCCCTTTAAATGGATATAGACGCTGCCACGCAGTGCTCGTTGGACTGACATCTTCCTGTGAATGATGAAAAGCGCGTCCATATGTCGTTTGGAGGGTATTCAGCGAAAGCCTTTGTTATGCATGGTGAAGAGGGACCAGAAAGCATTATGGGGATAGATGCCTAAAAGGATTTGGGCATCTAAGTTTTCTCAAACTTGTCCTTCTCACTGCACCATGAGCAATAGGCCCAAAAGGCATTCGCCATTTTTCGGATGATTCGGCGGACCTTCTCCCGTATTACTCGCATGAACTTCCAAATACTCTACGGGGCCTACGTCAGACCGCTCCTGGAATACGCCAACCAAGTTGTCTACTCAGGACGCATGAAAGATATCACCCTCATTGAGCGTGTCCAGCGGGCCGCCACGAGAATGGTTGCCGGCCTCAAATCCGTGGACTACGAAACGCATCTCGCGATGCTTGATCTCTTTCCCCTGGAGTACCGTCGCCTCCGAGGGGACCTAATTCTCACTTACGCCCTGTTTGAACAAAGCTTGGCAAACAGGGTTTTACCGTTGACCCAGCAAACACCCGGCAAGGGCATAGTAAGAAATTTTCAAGCTCAGAGCACACACATTCATTAGACAAAATTTTTTCCTCATTTCGGGTAGTAGCTTCGTGGAATGGACTTCCTCCGACGGTTGTCCACGCTCCTTCTAGAACCCAGTTTAAAGCCCTAATAGACATTTATTTATGCGAATCCTTGCGCTGGCAAGCATACTGCCCTCCGCTGAGAACATAAGGAGCAGTGCTACACGCGTTTTCACTTGTGCCTTTCAGGTGAACGACAGCCACTGACAGACAAGTAAAAAATCGACCCGGAAAACTTGGGCAAAAGCCTCGATCCTGTGTATCAATCCGTGAATCCGTGAATACAAAGTGCTGTGAACTGGATACTAGTTGCATTGCGAACCACTGTTGGAGGAAAGTTATACCACGCACCAAAACTCCCGAATTAAAATGTGTGGTCTATTAAATATGTGTTCTCTGAGCCCCACGATTTTCTTGCAATGTCACCCGCAGCGCGCCGTGCGTTCGAAATCTTTTTCGTTATTCCTTAGTACAAGAATGTTTTCGCTTTTCAATTTATTTACAGTTCGTATGTATCATTTGTTGATTTGCACACTCTGAAATAACTAATGCGTGATAAGCTCTCGCAGTTCTCACTCACTTCCTCCGGTGCACCCAGTCTCCACAATGACCCAAATAAATACAGGCTGCTCTCTACAGCCATCGATGGACCAAAAAATATATGGTCGAAACGGGTGTCCGTCCAATGTCAGACGTAGTATGCAACGCCACATCTGCAAGGCCTGGTGGCACTTTAAATGCACGGGTCTCCAGGACAACCACATAAACTAACTAGCTAATTACCCGGCCCGTTTTTCTGCTCCAGCTGCCTCCAACTCAAGGGGCAATGCATTCCGAAACTAAAAAGAGAGCCATTAAAAACGGAACCAAGCCAAAGCTGCTCAGTCGGAAAGACCAGCGTGAGTGCTTCGCCTTAACCCCGGTAAGTCGAAACAAAACTGGCGTCCCTCCGTGAAGCTCTGGAAGATGCAAGCACAAAGGACACAGCGACCCAGATGAAAGTTGACAATGAACTTACTTCTCTGAACGAGAACCTTGTACTATCCATCACGGGCCGGCTGGCTTCGAAGAAGTTCGTCCAGGAGGGAAGCAATCGAACACTAAAGCTTTTACTTACTCTTTCTTTCCGGTTTGCCGTACAGAAGATCTTGTAGCGGACGGTCGGCATTCAAAAGGCCCACGCAACGATCGGGTGCATATCTGAGGATCGCCCTGTAGATGTACGAAAACTGGGCCACATCGGTTCTAGGGGTGAGATGCAAAACAGGATCCACCTGGTGCCAGTTCAACCGACCCCAAGCTTATGGCCAAACCGATGGTAGCTATGGGCACTCTTACAAACGAAGGCACATTGATGCAACCGGCAGACTCCGGATTACGGTTTCTAATCAACCATCGCAGACACCTCGACTACCAAAGGCTGCGATGCTCTTGAGGAGGCGAGCCTCACTTGGATGCAGTGCCAAAATTACGTAGCGCTATCATTGCGTAGTTCCTCAACAGACGATGAGGGCACAGCAGTGAACTTCACACTCAAGCCACAAATTCTGAACTGGAGTGGGTCAGACGTGTGGAGACAAACGCCGAAGCTGACCGATAAATCAACCACGAGCGTTAATCTTGACATCGGTGAATATTGCGAGGACCTTACAACCATTGAGAACGTGAAACTGCCAAACTCCAACTGCACTCCTCGTTTTTCGACACAGTCGTTGCCCAGAACCCCAAAAACTAAAGCCCAAAAACTGACAACATCGAACCTGGAAATCTTTCATACATTCACTGGATCACACTGATCACAAGCGATTCGGAATTCCACACAAACACAAAGGAAAGTCGATTACGGCCAAACAAACCGCAAAAAATTACCAACTCAGTAGGCAGTTGGCTGGCTTTATGGTATGGTTCCCCACGAAAGCGAGCCTGATGGAGACGCCACTGAGAGAAATACCTTTCGGTGCTGACACACGACGCCCATGGCCTCAAAGTGACAGGTGATTGATCGAACCGCACAAAAATGCTCAAGAAACCGTGGACGCATTTTTGCCCCAAATCCTTCAACAACAGCAAATCTAGTTCTCCAAAATGTGGTATCGAAGGAGGTACAATAATCAGCGGTTGAAATTTTTGCCTATGCACCCCGAAGGTAAAAGGCTCCTTCGAAAACCGAGATTTCACGATGCGAAATAAACCTGCAAATGGAAGGCAGTTCTTGGAATCACCAAACCAGCAAGCACCCAAGTATGTCGAAGAGGCCCCTTAGGTCCTTGAACTCAAACCAGGCGTACAGCTGTTAAATCTGCCAAACACTGTTGGCGCACCTCAGGGCAGAAGCAGCAGAGACATTAATAAAATGTTTGTTCACAAACTGCATCATCCTTTTCAACAATCTCCGCGATATTAAGCAGTCAGAATGCCTTGGAGAGCCGCCCATAAGCGCAGCAGAGACATAAAATGTTTGTTCACAAACTGCATCATCCTTTTCAACAATCTCCGCGATATTAAGCAGTCAGAATGCCTTGGACAGCCGCCCATAAGCGCAGTCACAGTTATGCATCTGACGCGGAGATATCGATAGACGGCTACACACTTTTTCAAACTGATTCAAATCGAGGAAGGGCAGGTGGGGTTGTTGTATACTTCCATGCGGCCCTACCCATCCCAACTGTCCTCTCTGATAATGCTCCTGAAACTTGTGGCGATGCACTGTGGATCCAAATCCCGCTGCGCGGTTCCGATTCTCCCCTTCCCGGTTGGTTAACCGTTTTTCCGCAAGATTTCAGGAAGAAAAAAATTCCCCATGCAAACCATTGAGCAATTATCCTTCAACCACTATTTTACTCATCTCTTGCCGTCAGGAAATTTCAGCGCTTCAAAGGCCTTCCATATGGAGCTCAAGCGCGTTGAATGAAATAAAGTAATAACAATCGCATTGATCAACGTCGTTCAACAGAGCGCCGGGCCTCAGCATGTGATTGCACCCACCGAACACCGCGCAGGATCACGAATTCACGAATTGGTACACAGAAACTCGGGCAAAAGCCTCGATCCTGACGTCTGATTCCATCTGTTCCCAGGCAAGAAATCCAGAAATTCACACGTGGATTTGGAACTGCTGATGTGCAAATTTCCCAGGAATTAGTTGCCTCCCTGAACAGTCAAACTGGGGCAAGCTTAGCTGGAAGTCGTTTACAGGATCACTCTCCTGGGGACTCATTATGCTAACGCAATATTATTCTCAAATTACCAGCGCACAGTCGGATTTACCAAGAGCTACCTAGACGTCTTGGACGTCTCCTGGAAAAGAGGTCTCAACTTTTTTCCAAAGGATAATCACAGGCAACAAAAGACAAGCTAGGATTTGACAAAATATGGAACTGCCCCACAGATGATCAGCCTGCCCTACCTAAAGCGTCGCTCCCTAGAGACTCCGTGTGTTCCTCCACTGGTGAACCATCTCGCTTCTCCTGCGACTGAAACGTGGCCAGTGGTCCGTCAGGCAGCCCCGGGCCAGGCGAACCAGCTCCTCCACACTCTACTGGCCAGTTGTTCGCGCCAACCGCAACTGGGCACCAAGCGCTGGCTGCACACCTGGCGGCCGGCCGGCGTGTCGAACTCCGCTGCAGGGCTTCCTTCGCGGCGGCTCAATCCATCTTGCGAGGGCCTCTTCTGGCCGCATCCAGGGATGCCTTCGCCCGGTCCCTGAGAAGGGTCTTCAGGGCCGCCAAATTACATCGGTCGGTCTCCTGTCCGGCAGCATCCGCAACCTCCTCAAAGTCCTCCAGCAAGGTTCGAACATCCCCATCCTCAAAGGCTTGCTGCCACGGGTCATCCTTATCCTGTTGACGGCACAAAATGAAGGGAAGAAGGTCTTCTCTGGGGAGTCACGAATTAGAAAATGCCAACTGACCGTTCACAGACCGTTGGACAGAGAACCAAAACTCTCATTTCCACTTTATTTACAAAAACCTTAAATCCATCTTCTCCTGAACGCGTCTTCTTGAACTTTCATGAATATTAATTGACTGTTGTTCAAATCCAAGCAAATGCTACAAAGTGACTCCGCAAATTCCGCAACAGATCTCCCTTTTCAGGAGACGCAAAGGAAAATTCCAAGAATAACGCCTACTACTCGCAAGCCTCCCCCATCAGTAGTATCATGCTACACTGATACACAGCACGCACCAACGTTGTTCGGTGGAATTCCATATGTCTGCCTAAAAATACGGTGTAATTTCACTCCTTAAGGTTTCCTCGTGAAACCAGGCGTTGTTTTTATAATGCGATCCACAGCTATGAGAGTAAACTGGCTGAAATAAGCCTGCTTTGTCAGTGTGGACTCCCGTGTAAAACGGAAAGAAAACTACTCATTGAGTTGCGCTAGTACTACAATACGGAAACAAAACGAAATATACATTAATGCAACATTGGTTGCGCCATGTATGTAGGCCGTCTTTCCTACTTGGAGGTCGGGCGGCAACCGAAACCTTAGCGAGCTCACCAATGCCATATGTACGCCCCACCACAGTGATCCTGGAGGGCCATATATTCCAATATTTGGTAAATTTGGAAAATAGGTATCTAATTTTATTAGGACCCAGATGCAGCCGTTTGCCGGAGCCACAACAGCAACGGCATGGCGGAAATGGGATAGGCAGGACTTCATCAACACAACTGCATTTACTGTGGCCTTACTACTTCCACAATAACATGCACTTATTCATGTGGTCTTCGTAACGGAATAGACACAATTTTAGGAACCGATGACGGAAGGGAATTATATTGCATCAGTACCAAGCTAAACCGTATCTTACTTGGGTGCACGAACGACACCCCTCCGAACGGCCATTAAACCATTGTGAATCAGTTGAAAAGCTCGGAAAACAATCCAATAAGTAATAACTTCGTTTGAGCCACCAATAATCTGCAGCATTTCCAAACTTTCACGTAAGTGTCACCCTCTTACAGAGTGGTTATCACATTTTGACACACTATCAAACTCTAAGATTATATGTGAGGAAATCCTACTGAATGGATACAACTTTTGTTCCGATTCCAAATGGATCTGTACGAAAATAAGCAGCAAACTCCGTCCACGAGACTCATCATATGACCACTGACCGCAGAAAAAAATTATCAGTGCGAAACCCAAAATATATCGAAGTCCATTTGGTCATATGGTCGAACTTGTGAACATGATTTGCATTCACTTTTCTGATGAACGGAAGTTTCCTTACATGGTAGAATTTCCAAAGATCTTACTTAACTTCTTGGCATATTTCAAAATGTGGTTGCTGAAGCATTCTTTTTGGTGATCTTAGAAAGTGGATAAACATTCAAATCTTAATGCCTAGTTCGTGCTGACAGAGCAACTACGGGGCTTCAATTGTGACGCCGACTAGAGTCTTCCTGGAAGTCTGCTAAGAATATATTTCATGAAGTCCGTCAGTGCGTGTTAGAATGCACGCTACCTGATGTCAGGTAGTTCGCTGAGTAAGGTCACCGACATTTGTTCACGGCATCCGGATTCAAGTCTTGAACTGTTAGATAAATCTTGCTGGAAATCATGCTATCGAAAGACCTAAATGAACCTCAACAGTATCTCTCGTGCATATCAACTGGATATGCTAAGCAGAAGCCACTTCATGTTTCAGTTGACACAATATCTGAGAAATCGCATTATATTTGCTTGTCAGAACACAATAGTTATGAGGTTGCTGAAAACTCCTAGTTTACTCAATCATTGCCCTTCTCAGAGCCGGCATCAGTCTCGATTTGTCATAAACAATAGATTAATCCAGGATTGACTTGGGTCACCCGTTAACAGTAACTTAATTTGCAATTGAGTGCATTTCACCAATTGTGCACAATGTGGTGTTCAACCGGAACACAAATCTGACGAAAACTTGGGGAACGTTGTCTACCTGAAGAACCCCATAAAAGGCAAAACCGATTTTGAGCTTTCAAAGAGTTTCTACTAACCTTATGGTGGTGTAGCGCGTCAAGCGAACTTAACGTGAGATACCGCAACTTTTGTCCCAATGCTATTTAGCAACCCAGTGGTCTTAGAGGAACTTTTTGGGCGATCTAGAAAGTCTCAGACGGTTAGTTTAAAAGCACTGTAAGATTAGTTAATTGATAAATTTCTTTTGGAAGCTTATTTTTGAAGCCCCATCCCCCTTAGATCGCCATGATTTGACGCTAATTATGTGTTCTGCTAAGGTCAATCGTTTGGAGAAGATGGGAATTAGCTACGTTTTCACTAGGCTGTTGTGGACGGCTAGCTTAAACGTCTCTGATTTAGCTTACAACCCCGAGAGCTGTTTAATAGTACACGTGTGAACGAACTTTTCTGCAGTTTAGTGGTTGCGCACACTTTTACAGACTCGGTACCGTCGCACAATCGATGGACTTCGGGCTACAACTGGAAGCCTGGTCAACGAACTCAATTGGCACTGTAGGCTAACGTAACTGTTCGTGTCAGTCATTTTAGTTTTGGTAAGGTTCTCGGTATCGATCGAACGAAAACTGCTTTGGTTTCTGCGTTTTCAGAGTTTCGTTCAGATTACGAAAGCCTGACTACACCAATATCAGATTGGCCATGCTTATCCACCCATGCAAGGACCTAAAGCAACTCATTGAAACTTGCTTAAATATTGTTTGTTACAGAAAACAGGCTGCTTCGGATACGAAAAACGATGGCGTTTACATTTTTCTCTTGGAATGCAACACATTCAGTTCGCTCTAGAAAATGGATATGATAATACGTGATATTACACAATGCAGCACATGATGAAACACTAGAATATCATCATTGGCAATTTCCAGCGAACAAAACAGATTGTTTTGCCATTAAGTGAGCCAATAAGAAACCAAGAAAAAGGCTGTATTGCTCGGTTTACGGTTTACGTATTTAAGCACCAGAAATTATTCTTCAACAGAAACATGAAGGCCACAAATATGTCACAGATGGTTTTGATGGTTTCGATGCATCTTCTTCAAACAGTCTTAGTATCGGCTAATTTTGAGAGAGATGAAACTTTACTTACAAATTCCAACACCCGCGACGGCAACAGCGGGTACCCTCAATGGGAAAACATGCAGAAAACGATAGATATCAAACTGTACTCTTTGGAACAAGTAAGCTGTGTAGCTGGCTTACAGCGAAAACGCTATTCAGGGCATCCACTATGGCCGTATAGCCATGGGGTTCCCGCCGCAGCAGTTTGATGTAATCTTTGATACGGGTGGACGGAACCATTGGATACCCTCGATTTCAACAAAATCTCCTAGGTTGCTTAGACGAAAGTTATACGATATGAGCAAATCGTATCACGGTAGATGGTTGGGGATCAGAAATTCTGTCCATTATGCAGCTGGAGTTCTGGAGGGTGAACTTGTTTCTGATGTGTTGAGCGTGTGTGCAGTTTCTTGGTTTTTTGCTTATATAATTTGTATAGATCGGTTCATCCCACATGCCTGGTTTTGTGTTCATCGAAGCGGACTCACTGAGTGGCCCGGCTGGTGTGCAACCTGTGGCGGATGGCGTTATTGGCTTGAGACAGCCTGACAACCCCAAAGCTCTGTTGTCTCCGCTGGTTAGACGGCTGTTTGTTCGTGGACTTATCAAGGAGGAGGTATTCACGTTTCGCTTCTGTGGGTAGGTTGTTATACCCGAGGAACAGAATCTTGTATTTTACTGTTATTGCACAGTTCATATGACGTCGTTTTATTTTCGTAAGTCAAGTTTAGAAATCAGCTGATTCATTCTAACACCGTACCTTAGCCTTTTATTTGACTGTCCAGATTGAAGCGTATCCATACCGTATCAATCTAAAACAACCACTCCTCAGTTCTGTTACGCTGGACTAGATCACGTTAAAGTTTCCTTGTAACAATCGTACAATAAATCACCGGTTTTCTGTCCTCAGGCCAGCAACTTTACTCTTTGTCCACTAGTACTAATACAGCAAAAGATAATTACATGTTTTTGCCCCACAAGAGAAAGCCAAGTTAAGGCGATTGTTTCAATGTTGCCTCCATGGGGCAAACGATTTCTGTGGCTCCAGGCAGTGTACTATTTATAATTTTTTTGTTACACTTTGAAACACCTTAACCAGTTGCGTTGATGATTCAGTGCACCACTCATTGAGCCGACAACTTTGAGGATGCCGAAACAGTGATACCTGTCAGCGGAAGAAATACGAATAACCATACGATAGGCGCAATACACCAGAGAAACAATTGTAACTCCATTCGAATGTTTTGAACGTATTTTGTGAGTGCACAGTATACTCCTTTGTTTTGCCTAGAGTGACAATCGCGATTATGATATGCTAACGCAGCGTGCATCCTACCATGCGTACAAGTACTTACAACAGCTTAGTGAGTGTGCTATATGGTTTAAATACAATGAGGACAACAAGATTATTTACGTACGCAGAAAATTGAAAAGACAGCTAAGTATATTGGGATCTCAGTAAGCATCTAAACACTATGTGTTGTTCTTATGCAACTGAAGTCACTTTAAATGAGTAACGCGGTGCCCGTATTCTGGTCTAATTAATCACCCAATAGAGAGAATCCTGTGCAAGAAGAGTTCCTCTGATTTGGCGTTGAACATAACATTTGTCTGAAATCGCAATCACCGTGCTGTATACTCCCCTGATGGCTAATCGGTCGTTCTATGGACCAAAATAGTATTCGAGAAATACACTCATTTGCAAGTCAATTTGGTTTTCACGGGAGACTCAATTGAATCTCTCGTTTATGATGTCCTCCAGCTGAATGTGCTGCACACAGGCCGCCTCATGATTCAGTTGGAACGATATTCGAGATATCGCAAAGTTTTCAGCAACCTTGTGAGTAGTTTCCTTTACCAAAATAGTATCTTTTTTTGCAAGAAGGTTGGTGAAAAATCGACATACTCTAAACGGCCTTCTCCACGCGGTCGTTTACTCTTGAAGGCTATCCTGGTGGGATGGAAAATCTTACATTGGTGGTCTTCAGCAATTTTTGTATTGCTTTGTATGGATAAAATTCAACTAGTTCTAAACATCGTGACACCGTTTGTCACACCGCGCAATAAATCAGGTTTGCACAGTATCACTTTGGGACTAAAATTATGAACATGTTGCATGTAATGTGTATGGATGACAAAAATCCTACGAACGAAGGAGACGAGCTCACTACCTGAAAAGCCACAGTAGGGTAAACGTTAATCCCGAGTTTTTCTCAAGAATTTCGACAATATCAGCGATTCACCAGTGTAGTTCAAGATGATGAATTATCCAAAACTCCACTATGTATACATTATTCCAATACCCCCGCAATACAACAAAACAGAGTTGCTCCATGCGTGTCCTCAAGTTCCTGTTGACCTGGCGAATTTTCGTTTGCCAAATGAGTATTAGACGCTTCAGTCAAGGACGAATAAATCCAGTGCTTCAACTGGAAGAGCTGAGGTTAAAACATGAACGATCATGGATGCTCAAAGTCCTTAATGTTGGTGTTAAAATCACACATTGACTCAGATCATATGGTTTACGGAAACCGACGCATATTTAGTCGATCAAAACAAAAACGCTAAAATACAGCAGGATTATCTTTTGTTATATCTGCTGATTCGTCCATCTGTGGCATCTGCTGCTGACCCGCTCTAGTGCCTAGTGTCGGAGAGAAAAGGGAACACAACAGCTGTATTCCGAACAAGCGAGTGAGTGAGAGAGCAAAAGTTACAACGGCCCCACGCTATTCAAAGGGGTCTTTCTGACATTGATCCAGGCTGTCTGATAGGCGTTAGTGAACACCCATCAACATCGTGCCTCTGTGAAAAGCCTGAACGCTGATCACATTCGGTAGTGCTTCTGTGGCCGCAAGAACACTCATCAGGTTTTGCTGAATTGATTGAATGATTGACTGGCCTGGATGCTTGCCGGCTTTCTAGTTGAGTTTTTGGTGGAGCAGTAGGTTCCGGGCGTTCTGAAGTTGCTTTCAGGAATATGACCTTCCTGATATCTTTCAATAGCTTCAATTCAAGGCGCTATTTTGTACAGTCCTCTACTTTAACAATAAATTAGTTTGATGTTTGTTGCTAGGACGCAACGTATAAACGGGCTGATGAACAAATCATTTACAAAATGGTGGAAACTCACATGACCTAATATCCTTCTTCTGCCTCTGACTTTAAAGCCCTAATCAATCGAGGTCTCAATGCAGTGAATCATCACTAACGTTTGCGTTTATTGGATGCATGTGTCATGGAGAAAGAATGCAAACTTGGCGTGACTGGAGTTAACCGATTTTCTTTCTAGTAATAGAGGTTTCCTACTTCAAGATAGAAGCACAAAAGCCGAGACATTAGTTTGTTGATGGCAAAACTTTGCTGAGTCAGTTTTGGCATATATTCAAGGGCTTGAAGAACGATTTTGACTTTGGTCGATGAGCTTGGTAATGCAGGCGTGACGCAAGTGCACGAAGTAGTGTCCAGGCTAGAACACATCTGAGAAACGTGTACAGTTTTCTCAAAACTACATCTGATACGAATAGGTGTCTTCCCGATCAATAACACTGATGCGTCTCCCAACTAATTATAAAGGAAAAAAGACAACTCATTTTGAACAAGACGTTTTGTCTCACTGAATTAGCGGTGGTTTTAGAAGACAAGCATTTTGTTTTTCCATTCTCACAGCTATATTATGGTTCATTTTAAATAACGTGGGATATCGTAGTGTTAAGGTAAGGCTTAGATTTCAACTGCCACAAAAGCCGATTCGGAAATATAACCGACCAGACTGAATATAAAGTCCATTAGAATATATAAAACGATGTGAGAGCTCCCTGGTTTTGGACAAGGCCGTTTTTTCCATTTGAACTACCCCCCTTCAAATCAGTTAGCCGTTCACATCAACGTCAAACAAATAACCGCTGTACGGTCAAAAATGGTTTGGCAAATGGTGCAATTCGCCAGAGTCGTACCTGCTATTGTGAAAAAATAATATTCTGTCGTAACCCCTGTTTCAGGCAAAGCTTACTATATGGTTAAAAGGAGTACAGATAGAAGCTTGTCGACGAACTGGGTGGTGTGACACTGAATGACAGTGAAACGGAATCAGCCAGATAGCCATAAAATTAACGAATTACTATGCTTGTCGTACATTGGTTGTAGGTCATCATACTCGTCACCAGGAGTGAAACTCTTCAAAGCTAAGTTGTGTTCATTAATTTGCGATCAGTTGCTTGTTGATCTGTCCACCGAGTCTGGCAATTAACTTGCAAGAGTTTCTTCCTAAAAATAAGAGACGTCATCAGCGAGCAGTTGGGAATACTTCTTCCTTGCCTGCGTGTATTTAAGCGACTTTCAAAGAAAATCTGTTATCGAGAAATACACCCATTTGCAAATCAATTTGGTTTTCACAAAAGATTCAACTGAATATCTCGTTTGTGATATTCTACAACTGAATGTGCTGAACACAGACTGCCTCACGTTTTAGTTGGCACGATATTCGAGATATCGCAGCATATTTTCATAAAGGAAACTACTCACAAGTAGAACATAAGGTCAGCGAAAAATCGGGGACTACGCCTACTTGATGAGATCCTGGAAGGGCGAAACCGGTCGTGGGCTGTCAAAGAGTCTTCAGCAACCTTGTGGGTAGTCTCCTTTATGGAAATATGTTATCCATTGACGTGATTAGCTCACAGTTTCTCACAGTTTTATTGTGAGTTCACAGATGGATCAATGAACCCAAGAGTAAACTATCTCACAGCGAGCTAATCACGACAAGAAACAAAGATGCTTTCGGAAGCCATGTGAGCGCACGCAGCTAAGGAGAAAAGTATCCTTCCCACCGCTCGTTTTGATGAAGAAATTTTTCACAAGTTGATTGCCAATCTCGTTGAAAAAATCAACATGCACTTGGTCAACTATCAACGATTAACGAGTGTGATGCATGGATAAATTGTGGGACTAGAGTCCCATACCCACCTCTGTTTTTAGAATGATAAATTTGGTCACATATAATAGGAAGGTTGCAGGTAGGTCCAACATGGGTATTGAGAGAAATTCCATTGAACTCCATTAGACAAACGTGCGTACGTGCGGTCTTTAATTGGATCCGGATGATAGAAAGCGTACATCCCCATTAGCCTGCTTGGTAAGGCACCCATTTTGTACCCGAGGGGTAAAGATTCGAGTCTAATTAATGAATCTGTGTTCTTGGACGTTTTTTCATCAATATGGGCTCTTACGGCTTTCACTGTCTAGCTTGGATTAAGTATGGTTAAAATTGCTTACACAGTTTGTACACAACTGACGCACTATTTGGATATTCCAGATTGAGGTCTCCGACAACAGGTGCATCTCTGTACAACGGGGGTGATTTGGTATTTGGTGAAATTCGTGAGGCCCATCAAATATCCGCACCAGTCTACCTGAGCGTTACAGAACAATGGTACTATTGGACCGAATAGTAAGTGGAACCGGGATGCAGGAATCAATAAATGCAATATATTGTCTGGATGTAATTCCTGCGCTGCTAAACTTCGTGCGTTTGCTGCTAGATCGTTAGGCATCGTGTCTACAAGGTGAACACTGCCTCATCCAACCTTGGTAGAAATTAAGATTTGGTTTATAGGACGTTCAAGGGTGCTTTGGTTTTGAAAGAATGATGAACTTCATAGAAGATGACTTCATTAGCATACATCAACCAAGATGTTTTGCTCTTCATAGTAAGCAGAAGCGTCATTCATCAACGTCCATCCATCCTCAACATAGTATACTTGTTTAGTTTGGTTTTCTTCCCCTTTAATCGATTTTACTTTGAATTAATTGCCTAAACGTTGACTTCTAATCAGGAACCGAAGAAAATATAGTGAGTTCAAGGGCCTTAAATCAATTCTGTATGCTGTGCTTATTGAGACTCAGTCTCAAGAGCATCTTGTTGGTGGTTAGCCACTCCCAACCAAAGGGTAGGTTTGATATCGTCATCATACTAAAAATACTGCTGAGCGATGAATAAAGTACATCGTACACTACGTTATGCCGGTCAGCATAAGACTGAACGAGTGTTTGTCCCCAAAAATTTACCCCTCAGAGTTGCACAAGGACGTTGTAGCTGGAAGAAACAATCGTTATCTAAAGAGACCTACATCAGTGCTGAAATTGATCTTTCACTCTCTTACAACCACATAGTTTAACTAATTATTTTGAAAGCCCCAAAGAATACTAAGGAAAGATTGGGCGTAAAGTAACTTGGTAATCGTCTACTATAAGCTTTTGAGATTATCAAAATTTCAGATGCTCATTCATGGGGTCTGGAAAGAAACTGCCGGTGTTAATTCTCCAAGCACAAATTCTTTAGCCAAGTACAGGTGGGGAGTAGGGAGACCCCATTATAAAATGCGGGGTAAACTCCGGATTTCGCACTCTTCCGCCATGTCACAAGTTCCTCATATCGGAGTGTGCGGTCTTCTCAAAGATGAATAAGAAACACGCTTTTCTCAGTAGACGATGATCTGGCATGCCAAAGGTGACGGTCCTGGATGTTTTCCGCCATTGAGTTACTTGCTGCGCAACTAAAAACCCGTTTGCTAATAACCACGTTGCAACTTCACTGACGTCATCCGACACAGCAACACTTTTAGGACGTTGTTGCTACAAGACCTGAAGACACCTCGTATTATTTGCTCACAGGAGACAGGTTTCGCAGATGAAACTGCTATTCAGCATAGTACTTACCATAGTATGATAAGAGCGATGTTTGAGTCTGAATGAGTGATGAATGAACGCCATTGGTTGGTAAGTGTTTTTCGAACCTTTAGAAATCCTGCACTGAATACTTAAGGCACATTTCCGACACATTTAATACAATTACTGAGGTATATAAATTGCACCATAACTTCCAGCGCTCGCCTCATTATTTGATCAGTGGTGAAACTGGATAGAATGTAGAGGCTTAACAGACTCCAATTTTTCCGAGAAACTTTTTTGAGAGATTCACTAAACTCCAATAAACCTGAAACTATGCAAGTATATGGATCTGACTATAGGGTGGGGGTATTCTGTGTTTATCAAGCGCAGTTAGAATAACTGACAGGCCGACGGAATCTAACGCAGCCATAAACGAACAAAAAAATAAATATACAATCGTTCTCTTACACCCTATGGAGTTTAAAGTTGTGTTCAACACAGCCTCTACAGTGTCGAAATACCGCTTGATTCTCACAGATTAAAATGTTGCGTTTCGTCTTATGACAACGATATATCAGTGGTGCCAAAAGTCTTGGAAAGATGGGAGTCCATCTGATAAGGTTGTGGTTAGAACATTTACTGCGTACTTGAACATTAGCCTTACTATCGAGTGCCCCAGTTGACTGGGATGGTTGTTTTCTCCCAAATAGGTGCAACTCAGTCAAGCACTGGCAGGCGAATTAACCACCATTCTTGAACAAACATGGTGCCATGTCTTCCGGATTAGCTGCAAGGATACTATTGAACTACACTTAGAGGAGCAGCTTAGATTCGATTTATTCTGTCGATTGTTCCCTTCATAAAAAGTAATGAACTTAACATGTAATATACTACGTTGGTTACCAGGGTTTTATGGCTGTTTATCATTGTAAATCAGTAACGGCACGAAAATGGATAATTCATCAGCACATGTGATTGAGTAATCCGGTTTTATCCCCATGCAAAATGTACAACCCTCGGCTTCACTCAGCCAGTTATCAATAGATGCAGCAAACATTTTGAAATCTACACAAGTTGTCTGGCAAGGACATCCTCTACCATCAACTCAAACTTCATTCTTGTCCAAAAAAACACTCGATAGTACTCTGTGTTGAAACACTGTCACATCAGATGGATATTGATATGTTCACCGACCTTTGCAATGGAAGTGAGCACTGATGTAGTCTACCCGAATGGTGATCCTTGTTTGCAAGTCAACTAACAAGCTTAAGGTACGAATCCAGGGCTAGAATGTTGGCCCTCACGGCTTTATATGGCCTGCATATTTAGCTAGTTTTAGGCTACTAGACGGGAGAGTCTTTTGCATCTAAAAGTCTCAAATCTTCTCAAACTAAGAGGTTTGCTGGAAACTCTTTGACAGCATGCTACCGGCTTTGCCATTCTTAGGACTCATCCCCAGCAGTATCAAGTGGTTTCGCCTGGCACATCCAGCTGATAGTTACCATTATTTAGAAATTCAACTCGAATTTCCTGTTAACACCAAACTCGTTTCAAGCAAGGTGTATTTCATCAGTTACATTGAAGGTTTCTCACCTTTGGGGAGATTACAAGTAAGCATGTTGTGGATGCCGGAATTCACCTAAAAAGTAGTTGTTTGCAAAGGGAATTATAATTTTGTCATTTATTTGCTGCGTAGTCATTGCGTAGCAGTTGTAGATGAAGGGCCAATACTTCTTCCTTGTTACTATTCATTAGGACATGCCTTTTTTATTTCATGTCCTTTGACAATGAATGAATGGATTTCCAGATTGTACACTTTTTTCGAAACACAAATGCGACAACAAACCTACGTTCTTCTTCTATTTTCAGTATTCGGATTGGTCAAAATTACATCTGTAGGTCCTGCAGGTCACTGGCAGACTCGGGCTCAGGAAAGATCGTTGGACCAGAAGACCAAGTTAAAAGTCTTTTTGCACAGTTTTCTCATTCGACTGAAGTTGGTGGTCAACTGTTTGTTAGCTGTGCACACATACCTTCGTATCATCCGATGGTCATTGGATTGGGACAAAAACACTTTGTCCTGAAAGCACGAGATTATATAATTCAAGTAAGTGGGTGTAATGATTAGTAGTAATACACCCAAACGAACTGCTGGAGCTCAAGCACCATTCATACTGGAGGACGAATTCAGTAGTAGAGTGATAAAAAAGAGATCTCGAGAAGTTGTCCATAATGAACGGGATCAGAATAGGAGAATATCGAAGAGAAATTCCTATGAACAACAGTTCGGAGTAAGACGTAGTCAGTGTGGTTGACCTAACGATTTTTGCGAACCCAATCCAATTTGACGTACAAATTCCGATTTCCATAATATTACAGTTGGTCAGTTACGCCAGCTTTTAATTTGGATGAGTTTTCGCCGGACTGTTGTGTCTGCCAAGTGTCTGACAATATGCTGGATCTTGCTATCTCATAAATGCCGACATATTGGTACTATGACAGATAAATCTTCGGGAAGCTAGCCATAGTGGTGCCTAAAACAGGGATTCTGGTTTGGAGGCTTTTACGTGATCACATCATGAGTAATGCTCTTCTATCGATGCACTGTGCTGTCAGCCAGCGGAGTAGCTCAAGAAAAGGTGGGTGCAAAAAAGAGAACAAAATTACCTGGTCCCGTTTTTGCATTACGGAAACACTGGGCACTAGAGTGAACCGTTGTTAACAAGAGTAAGTCTTCTTGGACCTGATTCATCATGTTCTATGTTGAGTTGGTCACTTCTAATAAATATAAACGGTGTTCGGTTGCTCTTGGTGCTAGCTGGTATATCCGTGCTTGATTGCTTTGTCTGTTCTCTCTGCTGCCTTGCATGACAATCGGTCCGTGCAAAATAGCAGTTTTAACCTATCCAGCGGGACCTATTTTTCGCTTAACAGACGCTAATCGGTGCCAGTGATGCTTGTGTACCCTTATTTAAAAATACAATCAGTTTTCGTAGTAAACGAGGATGTCCATATGCGTCCGAAGTGACGTCTGAAGAATTACATTCCTCTTTGCATCAGTATACGTTGAAGACACTGGTAAGCTTCCCGGTTGACTCACAAGACTGTGTGTATTGAGTGCACCTATGTACTTCATAAACCTATATGGAGGAGAATACTGAAGGGAATATTGACTGCTCAGGTTGTATAATCGATTGTTTGTTTGTTTACTCATCTGGTAAATTGGGTTACAAATCCTTTATCACCGGTTGGAGTGAGGTATTTTGTGAATCTCTGGACCAAATAAAAGCGGTGCAGTGCGTCAGCGGAGCTGCCAATATTCTGGTCAATAGCGAATCCTCCGGAAGATACGATGTTCACAGAAGCTCAACTCCAGAAGAACACAGCCCGCCGGGAAGCCTTCGCACGCCAACACATATACTTTGTCCATGAACGCTTGTCGAAATCAGTTCTGCTTACGCAGCGTACCAATCCTCTTCGCGATGAAGAGAATCGTCGTCCCAGTTGGTGGGAAAGCTTTTACAACCTAATGGCTTGACTCAACGAACAACCAGTTGCAAGGACCACGTACTATACCACTAAGACTGGCAATAAAAATGTAAGCTACTAAGTGATTCTGACTAAGAAATAAGTGTAGCATCCAACTAGACGCCCATGAATGCCTACATTTTCACTGAACGGATGTCTCTTTTGGACAAAGATTCGCCGATTAAATAAGCCTCCCAAAAGAGCGCATTTTATTCCAGCCCAAGACCGCTAGCCTGTTAGTGAAAACTCTTTCTCACCAATCCTCCGTGCCGAAAAATGATACCCGTAGTCTGACAATAATTTTTTCTTTAGGAAACATTCAATGGTGTACAGCGCTGCGTTTTGGGAATACTCTATCGACCGGGAAAACCTAGGACGCACTGGACTTTCGGTATTTCGTTTCTTCGAAGTTTTCACACAATTTTTGATCAAAGCAACAGTCGAATCGGATTTGCTAAGGTGAAGTGCTAGCACAATATAATATAATTTTCTGAGACCTCGTTTTATTAATTTTGCGATGGCCATTTGGTAAATTAATTCGTAAAGATTTTGAATCGGTTTACAAAGCAGCTCGTTGTGTTGAGCTTGACAAAGGCACAAATGACGTTTCCACAATAAAGGACAAAATATTTTGAAATAAGACACAGTGCTTCATTTGAGGCTGTTAAAACCTGCCTGGATACTTGCATAGTAGTCTACGTCCACCTAAAGTTGACTAAAATATTGACACCGAATGCACGTTTAGTGAACTCTTGTTTATTATAATATTGCCTTACCAGATGGCTAACCGGGAAAACTGACTTACATTATGCATACAGACTTGTGTACATGAACTTCACAAGCATTCCATTAACCATAGTGTACGCTTTGTGGTTAGACACGTATCAATGTCAACGATGAACTTGACTTTCGAAAGAGTTTGGATGATACTGCCAGGTACTGGTTTTGACATACCGGTTACGTAGCATGTAGTGTTCCATATAGTGTAGCATATAGTGTGCATGCTACATGCTGCACATAGTACACTTTTATACCCAACTTTACCTATTATCATTCTTGACTAGCTCCTTGGCCTTTGAGGTGAGTTCGCATTCAATGAGTAGGCGAGCGGGAACTTATTCGACATCTACCCACTAATTGTATAGAATGTTTTCTAAGTTCTCTGATCAAAAGCAGCCTTTGTTCGGTCTTGAACTAACAGATTTTGCGCGACCTCCAATGCTGCTGGAAATTTCTCCGAACTGCTTGTATACTACTGCAATTTTGAGGACATACCCTTAGACTCAAGAAGACAAAGGGCAACGTGTGAAATGTTTGGGGACATAATGTGTTAGTTTGCCGTAAGGAGACTTTCGCAGCTCACATTTTTAAGTGGTCTTTGGGTTGTTCATCCGGTCGGTGTGCTCATCAGACAAGCCAGCGGCAGGACATAGCGTCAGGACAACTTGAATCAGTACATCATACGCGTTGCCATTATTCTCATGATGTAAAATAAAAAATTCAAGATGCGAAAATTTATGCACACAAAAATGCATGTTGGACGTCTCCATAATACCAATTCAAATCACTGCTGATAAATAAACTGAAGGTAGAGCAACGATGGCAAACGAATTGTACTTTTGCACTTCGTTTGGTTGTTGGCTTTTTCGCTGAGCTGGGCAATCCGACTGCATATATATACATATATATATATAATGATAAGCACCTTGCCCATGGGGAAAATCACTTAAGCAATTACTTGTGAGTTTATCGTGGAAGCTTAAAAACAGCCCGTAAGCAACTATCACAGTTCGTATCCAGGCGCAGGGTGCGTTTTCCTCCACTAGCGTATAGTTGCGCACTATGAATTCCGATCTATGTGGTTCATCCGATGAATCACTTTACTAGAAACGATCACTCATGTTCATCGATACCAAAGGATACTGCACCGAGCAAAACCTGTAAGATATTGAGGGTACCCCTGGGAGCATGAATTCGCTGCAATACAGTGCAGCCCGGTACAATCAAAATGTATCCCTGGGTGGACAAGAATCAAATGAAATTCATCAGAGCAAGTCAAACAGATTGCTTAAGGTCCCTTCGCATTTGAGGTCACTATTGTGATAGTGACGATTCAGCCGGTGATTCTAAGAGAATTTCCATAAGTTCGTTATGCTCAAGAACAATGGCTGTGAAACGTTGACGCATTCAGTGCATCAGTAGCTGGAAAAGTGGAACAGGTAAATCGGTCTAAACACGGTCGGCTCAAGATGCATCAAATAGCACTGACAACGTTCGGACTATTCGTGAAGTTTGACTTAGCCACATGGAGTTATGCGATGATAAGAAGGATCGTATATCCATAGGAACGGTAGAGAAGGGACAAGATACTATCTGACTCAGAGGTATGGTTTGAAAAATGATCTAACGACTGCCAATCGATGGCCGATTTTCAGATCCATTCATGCTAGCCAATTACAACGAAACCCCACGTGTAAGTTTGACACTGGTTGTCGCGTTCATCTGGTGCCTCCCAAAGCAGACCTGTCAAAAGCTAACCTCCGATCTTTCCGAAAGTTCTCCATGTGTTTGTACGTCTAGCTGCTACATCGTCCAACCAGCATGGCTTTCGCCAAAGAAACACATATGGAAATGGACTGGCGAGATATTTTTCCTTTGAAAAGTTTATTTCTTGAGGTTTTGTGAGTTTCATCAAACATTTTCAGTAATACAGTCATTTTAAAAAGCACAACTACCATTTTTGTTTCGCACATTCTAGGTAATGGACATTAGACACACAGATTGCATCCGTTTCCCTAAAATTCCGCCTTGCATCCAACTTCACCTTCATGATGTTTGCCATTTGAGACGGACAGCAAAACTGAGAAATATACATTTGAATTTTGCTCAAGTTAGCTACAATCTTTGTAAACTACAGTCCAAATAACCGATTTTTGAATGTTTTCTGCCAAACAGATAGACTACGTAACACCTGAGCATAGGTGCTGGAACATCTTGAGCGAGCACAATTGGTTAGAAATTAGTAAGAAGCATTTATACTGAACAGGGGGTTAAAAACATTCAATTGAATGGTTTCAACGACTCTTTTCATTGTGCACCAACATGTTGTGAACCACAGTCTACTTAATGCCTTCCCATTACTGTGAGCCTCGGTCTGGATTGCCGATTGATAGCCTGGTGCGCTTGCCCAATCAAGAAAAGTCAATGAACGTGCGAACCGGCTGATCTATTGATCACTGTCGCGTACAAGTGGTCAAAAATCGATACTAAGAATACAACTCATCTGTCAATGGTGAGTGTAGAACAACCAATGAAACCTGTCTCAAGGAAAAAACGGTTTTTTCATTGGTAGTTATGTAGTCGGAGCTGGTCCTCCTAGTAGGAAGCAAGAACGCTTTTCATTGTTGAGTTGATTGTTAACAAGTTACGAACCAAGCGGTTACATGTAATTGGAAAAGAGAGTAATATTACCATTTGTACAAACACTGTTATGAACATTCTCAGGTATTCTCTTGAACTTTTCTGGATGCACTCTGAATATTGAAAAATAATTAACAAACATTGAAAAGTAGCTCCATTATTTCCTCACTGAACACCCGTCAAATGTGGCGGTGGAAGTATGACACTTAACCAAACACTACTCGCATGGATTGCCAGTAGCATACGCTCGAAGTTGTTTATTGCCAAACATCAACTGAATGGTTACAAACTACTGGATCGGAAAGTAAACATCTCATGAGCACCTTATTTTAAAGAAGTAAACATCTTCATGCACCTTTTTGAACTCTCTTGGATATTCATTGACTATCACGCAATATTAAACAAACGATGCAAAGCAGTTTTACAGGTTCTGCACTAAACCTCACCTTCCATTAGACGCGAAGTGGAGTTACATGAAAACCACTTACTACTCGCATGCCTCATCAGTAGTATCCATCGTTACGCAAATATTCGACTAATTCTTCAATTCATTTATTAGTCAGGATTTTCGTGTGTTTGGGGCTTATTCTGGTGCATCATCATACTAAATTTACGTATTAGTTATCGTTTTTATAGTGGTTATTGACGAGCATTGTTAATATTACTGCAACCTAACCGAACGAACGAAAAATATTACGGAAGCACCCTCAGTGCGGAACATCGATGGTGGTGTAACACACAAGCGACCTAACAATGAAGATTTCATTAATGAATTATGAAATGGTGTCTAAGGTTTGCAATCTGACACGATTCACCCCCCACAAACTATTATCCATATCCTGCAAATTTTTCAGACAAAAAATTCGAAATCAACATTATCCTTATATTTGTAACCCCTTTCACACAACAGTTCTGTCTTGACCACTTCGACTGAAATAAGGATGATATTGTTCCTTACCGACGATGATGGTACACCATATCTTGGTGCCACCAAACCTTTGTTCAATGAATGTTTGTGTAAGGTGTCCGAATACTCAGTATACGATTGCTTCAAGGCGATTCATTTGTACCAATCAGAGACAGTGGTTACCAATAACACTGTAGACCTCAAAGACATCAAAGATCACGTAAAACATCCCTAAGGCAAACTGTCTCTATCATCCTTCATCAGGGTGAATTTTATTATAGGTCTAAAAACCCCTGTAAGCAAATTACAAATCTTGTTCTCAACAAACAAAACTCAAACCTTGTTGAAAGAAGAATCGTCCTTGAGGCCCATGTACCGAGGGGCACAAACGTATGCTTTATGACAGATTCCTTCTCCCCGTCCTTGGTTTTCCTACTGGGTGTTGTAACCGCTTTCCGTTCATGGTCTTTATTCATTCGTTATGAGAAGACTGAACATATACCCGTTGATCCAAAGAGCTTGATTAGTACATGTCCACTCAGATTCAATTCAGGTCCTGAGTTTGGCTGTTGTCCCTGTCACCTGCTACTTTTCATGAAGGGAGCATTGCAAACTTGTTTTATTACCTCAGCTCAGTGAGGAGGACTACTGTTTTCAAGTAATTTTGCTAAACCAGCTCAGTAAAACCGGTGTAGTTTCACAATCTATCGTTGCTGATTTGCTAGTCATTGAATGCAGTAAACTTTGGTAAACTACCTTCATTCAGTCAGCAACCCCTGCGCCTTATTTTGCCTTCGGGTGCTTCTACCCACAAATCGAGATCCCAGTTTTGTACTCATGATAGAGAAGCACGTATTTCTGTAGGCATTTATGTCATCTGACGTCCGTCTATCCTGCTGGTACTCTTCACACCGCAATTGATGGTTTCTGCTTGTCAGATATTTTCTCTTTTAATGTCACCAGACCCTGTTTCCGACAGGACTGTGTGATGCCTCTGTTTGTAAAATTTTCCCTTGCATGACTTGCCAGCAGACATTTTTTTAATAACTTCGGTTGTGGGCATATAATTCTTTTGGCCATTTGAATACAAATATGTCTGTTATTGGTTAATGGAACTGGGCATTTTGTGGGAACAATGCACCCATGAACTATGTGCACTATAGAGGTAAACTAGCATTTGTAGAAGCGACAACGCGTGAACATTTTTCGATGAGAACGCTGCATCCAGCCAGCGCATCTATCGCGTGAACTATTGCAACTGTTTGAGTCACTCAGAGAACAGAGCACATTTGTAAAGTTGTGGTGTGCTGGTGTAACGGTGGATACTACTGATGGGCATGTGAGTAGTTTTCTCGTAAATCTGCTTCACGATTCTTGAAAAGTGAGATCTATTGCGGAATTTGTGGAGTTGCTTTGTAGCATTCAATTGCATTTGAGTAACGTCAATGAATATCCAGGAAAGTTGAGGAAGACGCGTTCAAGGAGAAGATGGATATTCAGTTTTGTAAACAAGATGCATAAGAGAGTTTTGCTCCCCTGTACAATTTGTATGTAATTTTGATGAACTGAACCGATACTAAAGAGCGTGATCGCGTCCGTGCTTATTTCCAGTGTCCTAGAAAAGAACTTTTTATGAAATAGTAGAACTAGTCTCACTTTTCTTCGCTTGAATCTCTAGAGTGTCGCCACTGTCACTCAACTGGGTGGGAGGCATTTTTCAACAGCCGATGAGATTTAAGTCAACTGCTTCTGGAATCACATCTAACCAAGTAACCTCTCTCCTAATGATAGCGGAATGCGAAGAATTGGGAGTTTTCAAATGATATCTTGTGATGTAAGTTAAGTCAGTCTATGCTAAAGAGTCAGTAGGCACTCTACAGCTGATTCATTCTTATTGGGGACCACAGGCGTCTGTAACTCAGGAAACTTCAGGAATTTTGAAGCCCACAACCTCCTGGTTGGGCGTTTAAAAAACGTTACCGTTCAGCCACGTGAAATAGCTTCTGTTAAAGATAGGATCCAGAGCCACTCATCCTTCAAAGTGCTAGCCGTTCATACTACTGATCACCCACTCGTGATCCAGTTGTGAAGTATTCAAACCACTAGCCTCCAGATTGAGGGTCCGAAACTCCCTGGGGTTTCGTGAGATGCCCAAAACTGAAGATTGTTAGAAAGGAGGGAAAATCTATGCAGTGCGTCTCACATTTTTAGAATAGATTGTTTTCACTTATGGGACAAAATCTCACTTGATAAAGTCTTTTTGAAAACAAACCTCTCAAAACAGAATAAAGCACTTCTTGCGGATCTCATTTTTATTTGTCCTTTTTCGAGTATATGTTACACGGCGAAAGGACGGTTAGTTTTTTGTTATCAACTGGTTGTGTTCAGCACGCGTGTGGAAAAAAACAAACGTGTCAACTTTCCGAATGCGAGCTATCCTTGATTTTTTAGATTGGTTATCATATCAGACAATCATGTCCTGAAAATCAGACCCTAGTTACAAACCTTTCAAAATTACCATCATCTGGTTCATGGGGTTTTTGTAAGTTCCACAGAGTCATGGGATTAGAGACCGTTCTATAATATTCCGGAGTTTATTCACGTGAAATTAACTACAGTTTTCTAGTACATCAGCTCCACCAAATAAATTTACATAAAACCTGGATCTTCGATGTACGGTTTGAAGCTTATTTTAGTGGCTAGAACTAGGTCCCTGTCAAATGAAACGAATAAATAATATCGCCTTATTCTGCATTCTTATGGTGAGATAAAGTTTGAAAAAATGCCTTCATGACAGTTTCAAATGAAGGAAGTTTAGACTACAATAAAATCAAAGAAAAAGAAATTTAATCACGTGTCACCTGTCATTTGTAATCTACCCGATCGAAATAGGTTAGATTTAAATTGGTTTCCATAGCTGGAATTGTCGGAATCAAGTCAGCTTTTCCAGAGCTCTGAATATAGGGGAAAGGCATATAAATTCGGATAGAGACTGAGTGTTTTTATCATCCACATTCCATGTGTTTACCGTGGTCCATTTTTGATAAGCCTACATCCATTAGGTGAGTACTTCCAACCATTTACTTTACCTCGATTGAACATCTCACCTGCATGATATTAACTTCGCGAACTCTGGAATGTTTATTGGCTTCTACATGAAATATAATCGTATGCTGTAACCCAAATGGCTATAACTTGTCTCTTTTGCGTTTGTCTATTCCAAAGGCTCACTGTGTGTTTTATCTCTGATTTTTAACGTGGATAAATATAGTTTTTAAAAACGGACAGAATTTACGTGAATTAAATGAATTGTTCATTAATTTTGCTTTGTTGAAATTACACGACCATTTCACACTGTCAGATTCATTGGGTTAAACCAATTAAAAATGAAATGATTTGGAAGCGTCATCTTTATCAGTAAAGCCGGCGGAGCCATGGCTTTGAGGCTAACTGAGTGTAAAAACTCCAGCTGTTTTCAGTCCTGATGAGTTCAAACAGGGACGACACCTTGGGAGTGTTTCACGTACAAAACAAAATCTACGGCCTAATGATCACCTATGAGGATTGCGGAGAGTTAGCTGACAGTTCGTTAATAAGTAGACATATAGCAAATTAGAGACAAAGCCGAAACTCACTAAACTTATTCAACATGGTCTCCGCTTCCTCTTAAATCCCAAGCAATCATTAAAATAGGACTAATTAAAGAATGACGCGCTGATTATGTCCTTTTTGCTCATTAGCTTCCCAAAATTCGCACTGGTTTTCAACTACAGACTGTTTGCAAAATAATTGGGTATTCTGGCATACTCACAATCGCTGGAATGCTTTGGCCAACTTTTATCAGAAGCGCATAGAACTAACTTTTTCCCAAGTCAAGTCATTTATCCAAAAACAAAAAAAACTTCTAACATTATGCATGAAATAAAACTCAAAGCTATTTAATCTGACACAGACGGGTAAACTGGTCGTACATAAACTCGGTCCCCTTCTTCAACTGGGACACTTCACCTCTGCGAAACCCATTTTCTTTTTCCCGTGGTCAAATATTGTGTGAAAAAAACGCAGAATCGAAGTTCCAAAGGTCCAGTGAGTTCGCTTCTCCTCTGGAATAAAACGGATGCCCAAAATGCAGGTTGCTCTGCCTTTACGCACATCCTTGAGTCAAGTGAAAAGGGAGAAACAGGCATGAAGTCAACACAAGTGAATGTTGCTTTTTTATTCCAAATGTCATTGAATAATTTCACTGGTATTTACCTGATAAATAAGGTCTCTCGCACGTAAATTAAATGATTTCTCCTGTATGCCAATTCGAATAGGTGGATAGTCATTAATCGTCCTGCAGTCCACATAGAGTGCTCCTTTCTTTATCTGGGCGTTTTTGAACTGAGAAAACACCTGCTCTACTTGTAGTCTTGGACCAACTGTTTTAACCGCACCAGTGTCTGCAAGCGCCTGACAGGAACTGCAGATTTCAACTTCACCGACTGAAATACTAAAAAATGGAAATCATTGAATTTATTTATCTACTGAATTCAACTTTGGTTATCTTTATGATGGCAAAATCTCCATATTTTACCAAAGGGGAGAAAAAATAAGCCCGCCATAAAAGCGCCAAACAAAGACGGGAGCAGGCTTCAAAAACTGGGACTCATATCACTGTCGTTTTGTGCCTAAAATGTCACTTCGTGAGTAAGTATCCGATTACAACAGATTTTGCAAAGTACAGCCATCCTTAGAATCTGCTTTTAACCGGGGCGTTTAGGCTGCTCAGAATGATTTTTATCTACAATCACGAGGGGGGGGCAGTTGGAACAGTGACAGGTATTTGACTTCTTTGGAACGGCCTATTGTCTTAGAATCTGGACATGAACCTATCAGAACCGAGAATTCAAACTCCGATTCGGCGAAGTTCTCGGGGACATTTTGGTGCCAATCTGTTCAAAGGGTGTTACAGAGCACCAAAACTTGGACACAGAGATTCCAGTAAACTTCATCTTGGATACCATTGCTTCCACAAGAGCTTACCCACGCAACTGCTTTCCACAGAATGGTTGTCAACTGACAATCATCCGGCTGGGAGGCACATAAAATCGATTGGGGAGTCACTTCTCCAGAGAGGTTCAAAAAACTCCCTAAACTTTTCTGAAATAAATATCAGTCAATCGTGTACCGTCACGTTTTTTTACTAAAAGCAGTTTTTCCAATCCCATTGAATGCATTATTAAGGTGAGATGTTATTGGAAAATTATGGAATCACCAGTGAAATCTATTTTAGCAAAGCATATAGAGTTCACTTATTTTTTACGCGTGTCTTCCCCGACTGTCGGGATACTCGGAATCAACCTCATAGAACTGGAAGTGCCCGACAGAAGCACATCTCAAATGATATCGAATTTCACTGAAATTACAACAATAACATACATCAGCGACACCGCTTTTGTCTCCGTTATCGGTCCTTGGTGCAGTCGCGTTTACAGAGTAGCCCATTTTTATAAAAAAGCGGCTTTTTTAGGACACGCTTCACGTGGCTTTGACAACATAGTCCCTATTATTTAACAATAGCCTTTTAAATAGAAAAATCGGATACGAAGCAATTGGACAATGAACCTGATTCGTGAGGTTTAATGGTTCTCTCAAACCAAGCCCTTCCAACATCAACATTCATAATAAATACAGTAGGGATTCCGTTTCGCACGCTTGAAAGCTAGTATCCATGTGGAACAACTTTCGGATATTCGCAAGGCATTCACAAACCTGTCCGTGATCAGCATACTAGAATAGGGTTTGCAAATTGAAATAAATTTTGGAATCGCCTTTCAAAAAATTGTTGCAATCAAACACACTGTGTTACGTAACCTGTCATTCCCTCAGATGATCTAAATTTGTAGGTCCACAAACCTGTGATCAGCATACTAGAATAGGGTTTGCAAATTGAAATAAATTTTGGAATCGCCTTTCAAAAAATTGTTGCAATCAAACACACTGCGTTACGTAACCTGTCATTCCCTCAGATGATCTAAATTTGTAGGTCCTACTGCTCAGCTCTTCCTTCCCCCATGGTTAACCTGATAAAACAGAAACATAAGAAGACCTCATCGACTGTACTACTACAATGGATTCGTTCGAATTGCTTAGTATGCCCCTAACGTAAATGACGCACACTTGTTTATTGATAATCCTATTCATAGATCGAACTACACGAGAATCTGGACCAAGAGGGCTGAGGTGAAGAAGGCTTAGAGGAAGTCAAAAGAAGCTGTAGTTGCCAAAAATTTGACACTGTTCGCTAAATACAAATAAGTGGCTAATTTTTGGTTTGGTTGCTAAGCTGAGTAATTCTTGCCAATTCATAGCTGCTCCCCATTTTGCACCCGAACAGCGTATTGATGATGTCCCCTCGATCGACGACGAAATGTTTGCAACAAAATTGCCCAATACAGCCAGCAAACTAGCGATAATCTACCTCGCCTGGGCTAAAAATTTCGTCCCAGTAGCTGTGGTCTAATAGATACTCAATACACTTCCTTTCCAAGTGGATACAGTAACCTGTTAAGAGCAGAAAGATGTCTTGATTTTGTACCCCTGTACAGTAACTTTACGGATCATTTGTATCGACGTATCCATGAAAAATCCAGAGAAGACAACACATTCGGCTAGAAGTACCGCTGAAGCACGAAGCGTCGAGGCGGCGTACTAGAAAACATATCCTCTATGTACCACATATGTATAAATAATACCTAACATCATCACCTAATCTCATTTACACACGAATATGTTTTTGAATTCCGATTAAAGCGGACTATTATAAACGGAAGATTCATATGTGTTCAGTTGAGTCTCTAGCCGAAACCCAACTCTTGCGCAAATCAAGGTATTTGTCGAAGACTGTCCAATTGTGGTTCAAGCAAAACATGAGTTTGACGAAAACTCAGAGACTGTGCCCACCTGACAAACCCCAAGAACAGCATAACCGGTCTTGGACAGTCGAAGAGTTTTCAGCAACCTTATGAGCAGCGTTATACTTTCAGATCTGTTTCATGTAACATAGAATTTCGCCTTGCACTAGTGAACTGGTTTATTCACATGTCTAATATATTTTGTGCCTATTGTGCACAACCAGTTTCCAGGCTCGTCTTTCTCGTAAGCAACACCAGATTTATTCGTGCCACCAAGAGCAATCAGTGTATCCACCGCTAAAAGTGAGATTTCGAATAAAGAATGATGCTCCATTTGCTCAGTCAACAGCCACTTGATTGTTTTCTCAGGTTACTTTTGAGAAATCTAAACGTTGAACCGCGAGAGATCCATATATTTTGATAGCGTTGGTCAGTTTTAACTTCCCAGTGCAGCTGTGTTGACAACAGTCATTCAAGGGGAGCGAACATGAAGTCACCAGCGTGGTTGTACAAAAAATATTTATAGAGGTATTTTATGAAAAATCTCTAGGTTTTCTGCTTTATTCAACAAGTGCGGATCTCTGTGATGTCAAGCTAGTGATTCCGAAAAGTCGCCTCAACCGTTATGAGACAGTTTCACTAAACCAAGCCTACAATCTCACTTTTTACATTTAACTTTTTCTCAGTGAGTGAAAACTCTAAGAAGTCCTGTGACTCATTGTTCGAAACATTTTCGTTTCTATACAACAAGCACCGTTTATTCAGGAAGTAATAGTAGATTTCTCTTGTTTCAAGAGTAGCCAAAACATACAACGCACTACTCACAAAATTGTTGCAAAATCTTTGACAATAGACATCAGATTCATGATGGATTTTGCCAACCTGATTCTACCGACCTGGTAAATGCAGACTACATTGTATGGGTGCTTCTCCTTTCGTCTAATATCTCAAAAAGGAGGCATTTTTTAGAAATTAACAAATTCAAAACACTCACATTTTGACGTAAAATCTCCACGGCTTCTTGATTTTGACATAGGTCGGTTCGCTGTTCTGAAAATCAGTCCGAATCACTCCAAACACCAAATCGCCCACATGGTCGCTTTTGGGGTTTTCAGGGTTGCTAAAATATAGAAAACTGTATTTGCCAATATATTCATCGTTGTTATAATGAATATATATCAACTTTCAGTAGCAAACGGCCTCCAGGTGAGTATACCCAAAATGGAGTTTACGGTTCCCAACTTGATTTATATCCAAACAATTAGCTAACCTGTTTAATGTACTTGAGAGAGGAACGCCATGAAACACAGTATAGGACAAAGATGATAGCTATAAATGGGATAGAATACGTAGCATAACCAGTCGCTGAAAGTGCTTGGTTTCAGCACTCGCAAAACGACTTATTGAATAACGACGTAACGCACATAGAGCAAATGAACGAATATAGAATCTCTACATAAATATGCAGCTTAGAGAATCCTCCGCGGAACTTGGGTAAATGGGGAACTATTCCGGTATAGAGAAGGTCACGAGCTGGAGTTCCGCCCAAAAGTGCGTCTTCGTGCCTTTTTTCGCCATCATCAAAATTTTTGTCCCTTCCACACCAAGATTTATAGGGAACCTGGCAAAGAAGCGTTAGAATTTCGGAAAGCTCAACATGACTGCAGTCTATTATTCCGTCCGTTTATACTGACTTGAATCGCAGAATCTCTCCGTATTTTACTCATCTTGCAACCACACTCATTTAAGATTTTCCACCGAATGAAGGACATTGTTGTTACAATCTTTACTCAAGCTAGAAATGCAGATGAGTGGGTTCTCACTATGTTCTGCAAGTTGGCTAGTTAGGGGTTATCGTTAGTTAAAAAAACATCCCAGCTGACAGAATCATGTGCGATCCAACTGTTCTACGTGGTTCTGAGTTGAAAAGTTTTCATTTCGGTAAGCAGAAGAGAAGTACATCGCGACAGTTCATTGCGCTATAAGCATGATTTAGACCAAATGTGTGATCATAGGATACCAACTCTCGTACTGACATTTAAAGGAATTGACCGTGCTACCGTCAAGTGGTAACACTTGGTCGCCGTGTTCATTGAAGGATGCTGGTGGAAAACCAAGTGTAGCAGCCAAACGGTATCTTTGAGTGACGCGTAATACCAGAACCTCCAGGAATGTAAAACAATACCTCGGTTGGGTTTGCGTACGGTGCTATTAACGTAAGGCATCAACTGACAAAATATACAAGCCTCGACAGTAGGTACTCGTCCACTTGAACCATAAAGTGCAAACCAAATAGAATAAACAAGCTCCCATGTGAAACAGTCACACGTGCATAAGGTTGGACAAAAGATGGCTGGATGACCTCAAGGTCAAATAAGCGAAGTGATAGGGACAAACAAACACAAGTTCATACGCACGCACTAAACACAAAAGTGGAGCGGGTTGTTACAAATAGGGACAGAAGAAATGTGTTTCAAATGCCAAAGTACTCGATGATACTCCAAGAATGACACCAGATTTATGAAATTTCGTTGTTTCTAGTCTTGTCTTCAACTTGTTCTCAGTGACGCAGTTGTTTGCCTTAAAACTAGGTTCAAATGTTTGATTCTGTTAGTTTAAGAAACAACTGGTCAGGGCATCAAATTTTCCACAAGGCGACAATCCTACAATTGTATAATCCTTTCTGAAGAACGTTCATAGATGTGTTGCAAATATCCTACGCATTCCGTTTTAAGTGATACACTAACCGACAGGTAAAACATCTTCAAGTATGAATTGCCGCGAAATAAGTCTTCGTATAAACGTGTAAGCTCGTGAATTTGAGGTTACCGTCACAATGAGGGATGTGCTAAACTAGTTCCCTCCCAGCAGGCCTTGAAATTGTCTGAGCAAACTAAAAGTGTTATGAAGTAGGGTTGATAAAAATAATTGTGCGTCTTCTGTCATATTCCATCGTTTAGAAAATTTGCATGAACTTTCAGGTCAATGAATTCAGCCACTTGAATAATATCAGGTTTTAGTATGACTGTTATGGTTTCCTTGGAGATAAGCTTAATCCAAATTTGTGTTACTTTAATAGAAAAGAATAAAGCAGACATGTGGTTTTACAAAATTCTCACCTTTCCCAGAAGCAATACAACCATACCCTGCAGAATCAGTTGAATATGAATCGAATGTAACGTCATTTTGGTATGCTAGCATGCCTTCTGGTTGGTCTGTCACTAGTATCACTTGACAGTCAAATTGGAGCAGCATTCCAACCGACGTCAGGAACACGCCAATCAGAAGAAATTATAGCGAACCCAAATGACGCTGCACTTGATACGCCTACAAGTGGTCACAGAAATCATTGAGAAAGGCTGCGCATAGTAACCGAAACATGGGATTTTAGCATTCTATCCCTCTATGTTGTGTTTTGACACCCTACATGGCACTCCATCCGGGCTGAGTTTGGCCCGGAACTCCTGAACTTTATCTGTTGTGACAAGAACCATGGTTTTACAAATGTTTTATTTTTTCGTATCATCCGTATGTCACCCCATCTGGTGTACCATCTGTTTATAGATGGCGAGGAAGCTCTGCCATGAAGCACTCACTGGGCCGCCGCAACGTTCATGATCGCACGATAATAAGACATCACTATTTAAGCAAATACATAGTCCACACTCACCGGAACAATTACGCCAGAAAAGGAGGACGATCGTTCAAACGAGAGTGGTGTGACTATGAACAAAATACTCATCCCGGAAAAACCTCAAAAACAGATAGAATAATGATGAATTTCACACTTCCTAGAGGACGATCTTCAAACGAGAGTGGTGTGACTATGAACAAAATACTCATCCCGGAAAAACCTCAAAAACAGATAGAATAATGATGAATTTCACACTTCCTAACTTCTGAAGAAAGTAATGCTGGTTGGGAGGCAGTAGTGTTTATAGCTGATTTCGGACGAGTTACGGTTTTTCTCGCTGGTACGATTGAGAATTTTGTGGAATCTGGATAAAGTTGCTAAGAGAGAGGTCGCTTAATGTCCTCAAATAGGGAGATCAACTTTTGGAACCGACCAAACCTACGAATCGTTCTCTACTGGGCCGACGGAGAGGCCTTTCACCAAAGGTGACCCTTTGAAGAAAAGACAGGTATATATCAAGTTTCATTCAAAACCAGTCTCTCTTATTATGACCTTCATCTGCCCGAATGGACTAGTTCATTCAGTTTTCGATAAGCCTGCTTTCAGATTTAGGGCTTAATCACAACCCTAACTGCATTGTTAGCCTTCGGAATGTTTAGTTTTTGGTAGAAATTTCCTACTGTGAGTGAAGCCAAAAAAAAAACGTACTGTACACTCGTCTTGTTCGAATTCGGAATCATCACCACTTGAAATCTCACAAAAATCCGGAGAGTCTCGAACACGCAACATCCCGGCTACTGGTTTGAACACTTAACCGTCCGCCCACTACTGGCTGATCGCACTTAGACAGCATACAGTGTTGAACGTCCTTCACTCACGGAATCCGCGTCATATGGTCACGTTTTGACTGGTTCCTCCAGTAACGACTCTCAGATAAAACTTTCGCTCGTCTATTGAAATTCTTCTTTATCTGAGTTACTTAGATATTGATGATTGTTTGAATCGCCTTGGTAATTCTAAGCCGAAACATAGTATTGCAAGTGAAACCAGTCTATGTCGAAAGGCGCGGAAGTTGAAGCTACACGAGTTTAAATCTCCCTGTATATTTGTGAGGTGTGCACTGCTGATGATTTCAAATGAGGATAAAACTGCTCTACAGTGCCCCTTGGATTCTCAGCACGAGTTGACTCCACTTACTGGGCAACGTCTCAATTAAAAACCAGAAAACTTTCTCGAACTACTGTCATATTTGGTTATGCCACCCTACTGTTTTATCATTCAGCTATTGAAAAGACAACATAACCCTGCTTCTGGTTAACTTCAAGACCTAGTGAGATGGAACGTCATAATGTCGGGACTCACTTTTCCGTCTGCTTCAGGTACGCGCTTTAGTTATCTAGTGAAGATTTCTTAACCAAGCTACTCAATGGAGGGTGATGTCAAATGTACCCGTGGCTGCGAGTTGGATATAAATCTCTCGACTTTGAATCACGTTCAAATGAAATACGCGTCAAAACAAACCAAAATTACAGCTTCGCTTCATCGGGACTTAATACTCAAAGCCATATCTGTGAGTATCTTCCATTTGTGGTTGCCACTGTGTGGTTGACTAATTGAAAATCTCTCAGGAAGGTGACACAAAGTGTCTGCCTGCAAACTCATATCGGATCGCAGGAGACATAATCCGTTACACAACCGTGTTTATTCCTATGGCGGAGGGAACAGAATGTACGCCCTGCACAAGTACATGGAGTCTACTTTGATGAGGACACAGGGGAAAAACGAGGTTCGTAAACTCTGTAGAAGCACGTATTAGCAGTAGAATTTGTTTTAATGGACAAGCACACACGAATTCGCGTTAAAAAGACAGCCAAATCTTCCCCTAAATTTCATTTGGCCAAGGTGAAAATGAGAATAAACTAAATGTTCTCTTCACCGCATGCTGCTTATAAGCAAATTTTTGGGTGTTATGACTGCCATGGGTTTGCTCACCAGAAGGACGAATGTCTGGGATTTGTTTGCATATCACATCTGGGAATTTTTTGTCTATTGAATGCTCAAAATAATGGGTTTGTAAGACAGAGGGGCGTCGGCGCAAGCATTTGGACAATCGGCTGTAGGATGACATAGGTATGTCGTTGAAATAAGCAGTGTGTGGACATGTAACCGGCAGCATCACACAAAGATGACCTGACCTACGGATAACACGAAGCTGTTTTGCTCCAGTAAGGTATTATACACCGCCTATGGTGCCGAAAAAACGCATTTGCGAATTAACTCAAGAATCGATGTGATTCATACCGAGTATCCTGCTCAGTAGTCTTGTTTTTTCGCCTAACACGAGGACATCTGAGAAAATCTTGATCTTAAGAGCTTTAGATGATATTGGCCTTTTCGACCTTCATCTGCATCAGCATATCGAGGTTTCACAGTTTCCTCAGGTTCCTCTCCAACCCCCAGTTAGCTAGCGCAAAGTGGCATCACAACGTGACTCCATTACGAAGGAACTGTTTCTTGCCAGGTTAAAGGGTGAAAAGTTCCAGTACGACTGTGAGAATGTAGCAACACGATCAGAGATAGTTTTGCCATATTCGTCGTAGAAAACAGTGAGTTTCAAAAAGCACTTGCAAAAATGGCAGTGAGACTTCCGAAACTGGCTGACCTGCGTCTGACCCTACACAGGTGGAGGTCTCAAAAGAACCCTGTTTTAAATAGCTTAATTATGTAGGAAGCTGGCTTCAAGCCAGAAAAGTATCTTTCAGGAACGACTTCTTAGCCCGTTTCGGATCGAAGACTTGCAAACTCAGTTTCATTTGCTCGCATTTCATGCGTGCATGTGGTCCATAGACCATGGCATAGTAGACTGCTTCACATCCTTTCCGTTTAAACATTCATTGGCTTGCATCACGTTTGAGCGATTTTCAGACAGATTCATTCTTCTAAATTTCTACAAACGTGGAATTAAGCCACGAAACTAATACTCTTAAAGAGCGAATGTTTGAACTGAAGTGGTACGACTGCTTTCAGTAGGGGGAAGGTTGTTTATAACACACGAATAGTGACTCATCTGAAGTGGACAACGCAAACGTTCGACTAACTAGTAGCCCCTAGAGAGTAGGGCTATTAAAACCACAATGTGGTACGATAACTATCATTTCGAATAAATTATGTATGTGTGGCAATACCCCACTTAAATAATGGCAGCAAGAGACTCCAGCATTAATGAAGCTCTTCAGGACTGCGTGTCCTTTTGCTACCAGTATTTTCATAAGTAGTTACCAACTTCATGACCTCTTGTCGTAGAATTCATAACTGATTACCTAGTCCACCCTTGTGGATCTACGGCCGCTGTTCATCTTGCCATATTCCAACCTCCTGCTGCGGTATGAGTTAATTTTTCACATTATTCTACTGTGAACTAATCTACACAAAGAAATACAAACCCAGTGACCTCTGTGATTTCCTTTACTAAACTCCTCTAAGAGAGCGAAAGCATTGCTTTCCCTCTAGTATGCCGAGAAGATAATGCGCTATGATGGTCTCCCAGAATAAAATAACTTTCTAAAACCATGAACGACGGATTTGTTTGCATCACATCTCGGATTATTTTCACCTTGACTTTGTAAACTCATGGTCAAAAATGATTGTTTCGTTTTTATTCGTTCGTTCGTGACGTGGTGAATTTGCTTCATATATTTATGTCAGCCACACCCTCAACGGATCCTCGATTACCGACCTGGTATTTGTGTTTCCCGTGTTCCGTCCACACAATACCGGTTTTGTAAAATTAGCAGCAATCAGTTGGAATGTGTGCACCGTAATCAGAGACCGTCGGTTACTGGTGAATGAACCTCTGGCAGCCAAAAATCAAAGCAAGTCTTTTAGACTGGATTTCAGCTTGTTGCAGACAATTTCACATACACGTAGGGCATATTTTGCCACGAAGACCTCTGGCTGATATTCGCAGAGTTTCATGAACTTTACAGGACCGTCTTGTCTCAATAACCCAGTAATAATCTCTCCAGAAATTCATTTAATTAGCCAGCGCCATAATAGCCAATTGGAAGTTTTCGGAGCATCTGTAGACTCGGTGGCTAAAAAGATTTTCGCCGATGGTAAGGCTGACGGAAACTCGGGGACTGCGCCTATTTGATGAGCACCGAGGAGTGCGAAACCGGTAGTGGGCTGTCGAAGAGTTTTCAGCAACCTTGTGAGTAGTTTCTTTTACAAAGAAATGGCTATTATTTGTTCGCAGAACACACTAAATGTAAGGTTGGTGTCTGGTTTATGCCGTATTTTCCATAGAATCGTTTGTTTTACCAAATTCCAGCGTGGCAGCAAGACATGGCGCACCCCATGCATAAAACATTTTGCCAACCTTTGCGTTGTTTTGACCAGATTCTAGTTATTTTATCAGAGAGATCACTGCACAGAGGCAGGTGCCCTAAATGGGGCCAATAAGAATTTGTAATGGTCAGAAAGTCATCGGTGACCGTGCAATAGTCTCTTGTCACCCAAGGGAACGACTAAATTTCGATAACTTGCTTCCGATCCTGCTTGAATCAAACAGACCGATACAGAAATGTGTTAATTCCGGCAACTAGCGCATAAATAGATCTAGCGGTTCAATTACTCACTAACCACTCAGCTTTTAGTTTTGAATGTTTATTGGGTTCTTTGTGCATTCCCAGCAGCTCAGAAAATACGCTGGGCTAGTTCGACAAATGAACTTACCTCTCTCATGTGAAAATCAGCTAGCTTTTTCAGAGAGGGCAATTTTTGTATAGATTGGGGACCTAAGTCCACCTCTCATGGAGAGGCATCCCATATGAAGGGGTAGTTTTGACGTTTGACATTAGTGTGCAGTCGAAGTAGGAAATAGTGTTCGTGTGACAAACCTCGAAACTAGTAAGTACNACTAGTACATCAATGAAAAAAGTGATGACTCAATCCAGAAAGAGTGCAACAAACCACTTCAGAAAAAATGTCTTACCCGCAAAAGCGAAATGTAAACAGCTGCTGGTCAATTTTTCCACGCTTTGTCAACACGTTCAAAATATTTGACATAACAACTGGCTTTCTGGCCCAACAACGTAGCCCAAAAACGCCGTCAGCCTTAGACATAAGGTTCCTTGGTCCGTTGTAATCCAGTGTCTCCATAAAGGTGAAATTTTCGAGGATTGACGAGCCAAGCTTTGGAATGCAGCAATAAAAACGGAAAAAATACCTACTTTCAATATATCGGTAACCAAAATTCCTTGTAAGGTGATCGAAACGTAGCGGGCAGTGTGAGCAATGCCCTGGGTGTGACTTTGAGACGATAAAATTCGGTCGTAAACCCTTCCGAAGCTTAACTTTTTACTCTTTGCTGCACTTGATGGAAGCCAATTGATAGAACCACCGGTATCGAAAATAACGGAAAAGTTTTGCGGAGGCTCGCCCATCTGTATCTGTCCCCAGTAATGCCCCTAGAAATACGAACATCCAGTTAGCAGGCACTGTGAGATTACAGTTTTGTCAGTCCTCAACGGTAAGTGAACAAACTTCCTGAAATTCAAGTTAGTTACGTTTCTGGAGCCAAATTTAAGTGGACGTACTTAGCATCGTCTGCTGCAAAGTAAGAAAAGAGGATGGCGAGCGCCAGCAGCATGTGTGTTTGGTAGGTCTGTTGATCAACCAACGCTCAAATCCAGGTTTTAAATGCATCACATCACTTTCGTATTGGATACTTTAAACTAACCAATGCGGAGAGAGTGTTTCCAAGGAGATCACTAATGCCTGAAACGTGAGTGACTGTCAGGCGGCCTGGAAACTTGACAAGATACGTCGGACGGTGATTTATACCGGGTTTATCATCAATCCAATTTCACGGTTTGGCTGTTCCAGTGATATTCGCGAGGATGTTTCGTCCACTGGACTATAATTCGGTCAAGTAGTGATATATCCCTCACAGTCGTCATTGAAAAATTTGGAGTAGCGCTATGCGGTGCGTTGATAACATACCTTTCTCAAGGCCAGGTAGTTCAAACTTCACAGAACCTCCCTGGCATTTCTATAGTCCTCCGTTCTCTAAAAAACCACTTATGTTAGAAACCACCTGCACGTGATTATTTTAATGCTTTCGATTAACAGCACGACAGTTCCACTGAAAAATTACCATATCGTTTTGCGAATACTTACAAAAATAGGTATTCACTATAATCAGTTTCTGCACCAACATTAAGATTATGACCAGATCTGTCTGTTGAATCGCAAATCTTCTCATCCCACCGACAAAATATAAGTAGTTCAGAAGGAAGAATGATTTACGAAGTGTGAAATCTCCACCTGAGACATAATTACTCTAGGAGTCAGTCAACACCTGACCATGTGATGTGAAGGATGAGTGGCACCCTACTTCAATACAAAGAATTATATCCTATATCAGCTGCTCATTGCCAAAAGAATTGGACTCCAGCTACTAGCCGAGAGGTCGGGAATTAAGTGCTTTGGTAGATTCATGAAATACGTACCGTACTATACCTCTTGGCTTTTTGGCATTGGCTGACTACACTTAGAGAACGAAGCATCAGACGATTCTCAGGTGACCAAATCAATCTTCTTTTGACTTTTATTTGATTCGCAGATATGTAACAAGGGTCATCATGGCAGCGAAGATCCGTGTTGAACGCTGATTTCATGGTGTTCATGTTGATGATGATGATGATGATGATGACGATGACGAAGATGTACATGGGCCGTTTTTGGAAGATGAAACCATGACATACTTTGGATTTCTTCCATCACATAAAAGTTCACCCATCTTATCAGGTCCGTGCACACCGCGCTGACCTACCGGCCACTAAGAACCACCTTCAGGTTTCTTTTAGCGTTCGCGTCATTGATTGTCGTCAAATTTTGCTAAAAAGTGAAATTTCTTGTTTCAGTCCCGCGCGGTTGGTCATGTGGCTGCAGATTTTTGGGACTTACTTCTGGATCTGGTCTTCAGTTGGATATAAACTGCTTATGAGCACAACGCTTTTGATGCACAAGCAGGCTGACTTCAAAGAGAGACCGAAATTCAAACGCTTGATAAGAATTTCATCACGACCATCGATAGCACCAGAGACAGCGGTGCTCGATTAGCCCAACCTAGTGCTTAGCTTCCACAAAGCTATAATGGACGATATCTGAACATGCAGTCACATTTTATAAGCACCGAAGCACCACGTGGTCTGCAAGCAAGAGTTTATTTTTTTAGGTGGGGGCCTGGCATTATTCGGAATTCCGAAGAACACCATTAATATCTCTTATTCGAAAAGCGTTTTCGAACATCGCATTAAGATACGGTGTTGTACCTCGGATCTTGTTTTTAGATTGAGGCTTTCAGATCAGAACGAATACTGTGCTTCTTAACCTATTCTGGGGTGATGGTCAACGTATTTAGGATCCATCTTCTAAATGGTTATTGCAGATCTATTTGATCTGGTGAATTTCCACACTTTTCAAGTTTGCTTATACTTCTATTAAAAATGAGGTCTCGTTACGTTTAGGAGCTTGGCTCATTGATGACCTACACTGACGAGGTCACAGGTTCGTCTGGTAACAACTTCACCTTCAACTAATAACCACTAAACGAACAAACATTCATCCATATGCAATTCTGTAGCCTATCTTAGGTAGTCTTCTCAAATAATCATCTTAAATCACTCTGTTCAGTATTCATTCCCCACAACCAGACATCTTTACAACTAATAGGGTTTTTCAATCTCATTTGTATATGTTGCCGTGGGGAGCAAACGCCACTAAATTATGTCATGCTGGTAGTTCGTACTGGTCTGGAAAAAAAACAACTAATGCGCAACCAGCTACAAAGCTAGCCACTGAGCTTTGTTTCGACAGTTACGAAATGGCTCTTTGGCTAGCCACTAGCTTTGTTTCGACAGTTACGAAATGGCTCTTTGGATTATTCGAACCCTATTCATTCAACATCCAATAACCCCAGACTGACCCTTTTCTCAATGAATGATGTTCGAGAATGACTTATCTGTGTAATTTTTTGCCTTTTCCCTTCAACCTTAAGAAAGGAAGGCACAAAGAATACTATTTTAGATGATGGCATGAAAACACAGTGCAGGAAGTGGCGCAATCCAATGAGTTGTCATTGTTGGTTCTACTGTGTGCTGCCTCTTCTGGGCTTTCGAACTGAAAAACCCTTCATCGAACGCTGAATCCTCGGCGATTTTCATAATATCCTCGCAGTTTGGGCACATGTACTCTGACAAGTGGAAATGGTGAACTGCCAGGCAGATACCTGTTGCCATTCACATTGCCACGCGTGCACAACTATAAATTACAAAAATATTTATCTACTACTTGCGAGTGAACGGTCAGTGATCTGTCGCCTTTTTAAGGGCTTCAGAACAATAAATTTTGAATAAAATTGACATTTCTAGTCGCTTTTAATTGTGTAGACGAAAGAATAGTTCAATCTAGTTAATCCACAGAGCCTGATTTTTACGGGCCAGCAAAATAATACTTCAAGGAGAGACGGATGCTGAACAGATACCGAAAAATCTAGAGATGACAGTCAAGATAAAAGGGCTGCAGAGAAATCTACCACAAAATGCAAAGCAGGCTTTCTACTGGAAAGCAGTGTGATGGTGACTGAGTTGGAATGTCTGCTTAGGACACGGCTGATACCATGTCCTCTTAATTCCAATATTTCATTGAACGTGTGGCCTATTAAGGCTGTTCGCTGATCAAGTTAAGCTACGCCTCAGTCCACACACCTTTCATTCGAATGCTATAGAAAACTTCAATGAGGAAATCCCCTTCCGTAATCTAAGACACTATAGAACAATAAAAGTGTTTCTGCGTCCAGTTGTGTTTCATTTGTATCCATAGAGTCGTAGTTTTAAGAGTCTTTTGACCTATTTGGTGCTTCTGTACCAGGTAGTCGAACCGAAGTAAGAAGGCATTGTACTCCAGTCCCACTGCTTTGTTGACACTGTCAGCAGATACAGTGCCAAAATATGCTTCGCCCCTCTAATGTGAGGTGAACATGAAACCTTTGCATAACGGGAGAGCAATTCAAGTTCCACAACTACTTGTTATTAATCTGATGAAGTTGTCCAATCCAATCGTCCCAGACTTACCGGGACATTCTGGTAGCCTGCTCAACTGACGCCTACATATTATATACTTAATTTATCGGTTAGCTTATTCTACTTGTCTGGTAAAATTGGCAGATGCTTTGTCATTAACCGATGTGTATGATGGTCGTTGGCTTGCTCGCTGAGCTGGGCAGTTTGATTGCAAACGTTTCATCATCAATCGAGGTGACATCATCATTGCGTTACTGCGGTTCTAGGCCAGAGAACATCCAGACGTCTCAACCAAGAGTGAACATACTCACTTACTCAAAATTGACAATAGTTGTGGTGCGTTTAGCTTGTTCTGGTGTGATGTTGTTAGTCCTACTGCCATGCTATTCGCGGGCATATGTTTGTGACTGATTACGAAGGCAACGAAAATGCAATTCCGTCGTCCTCTTCTCCGGTGCGGATTACTGAGACGAAAGTAGATTGGTCCAGACGTGAGTGATGTGGATACAATTACTTAAGTAAGTTTTTGTTTAAGTTGTTTACCTATCAAAATACTTTAATAGGCATAACATCTGAAATGAGTGCAACCTTGGTCCTATTGAGCCTTGTAGACGTTGTAGTAGATGACGTTTTCAGAAATCATATTAAACTTGATTTTCAGTCACACATGCGGATGTCACTAAAACTGATTAGCCTCAGTGAGATTGAGGCACACATAACTGCGCAGTACTTAGATGTGAAAAGACTGCTTTTATACTGGCTGGTTAATGGTAAATATTCGATTGATATTAGTCACTGAAGCCAACTATGTAAAAAAGGCGGTAAGCTTTGCACGGCAGTTTTATCCTTCTTGCAAATATTCAGTAGTGAGCACCTCACGAAACTCACACAATGTCGAACCACAAGCTCCCGGCCGGTGACTGAACACTTAACCGTCTGGTTATAAGTTGCTGATCAGAAGCGTCATTAGCTTTCATTTAGACAGAACATAGTGGCGGTCATCCTTCAATAATCGGAACCATATTACTAGATTGCCTCACTCCTCGATCGATGAGTTCTCGGAAGGAAGTTTCTCACATCCACCGAAAGTATCGCTCCTCTGAGCTGCTTAATGCTTCATGATGATGGTAAGAGACTTAATGACGTTCGGCAAAGACTTCGTCCTGTCAATGAATCCAGTCAATGCTAAAAAACAGAGAAGCACTACACAGCTGTCTATTCATGTTGGGAAACATCAGAGCTGCGTATCCCACGAAACTCAGAATGTTTCGTCAATCTGAGATGACTTTTATTTCTGAAATGGTCAACTTAACTGGCCCGAAATCTAGAGTATCGAAATCAAAGTTCGTAAATCTCGACGCTAATTAGATTCCGCCCGATGATATACGGCTGACAGGCGTCGCTCTCTCAAGTATCATTACTGATAGTTATTCACGAGAAAGTTTCTCACTCGAACTAGGTAAAACAAATCCATGTAGAAGGTTTTCGGTAAATTTTCTTTCCGCTCAACCAAACTCCTGACCATATTTGACAGTAAGGGGTAGTAGAAATACCGGCTGGTTGATATAAGGCCCAACTCGACGTCCATGGATGATAAATACCCCCGCATAGTCCAATAAGACTCTGAGCGGTTGCCGTGAATTTGCATCGTGCGTGTTTAAGTAGAGTGATAAATACCCGTTTTCGTCTAGGAGATTAGTTACTGATCTGCCCGAGCGGATGTGATTTATTATCATGAAAACATGGAGGGCTGAGGTTTTTTATAACTGCCTTGGCAACCACATCAACCTGGTGTGATTGCTTGCAAGCAAAACTTGTCACTTTTCAGGATTGTACTTTGAGCCGTATATGGTACCTTATACTAGTGCTACCTATTCTCAAAATCTAGCATCGTATTACGGGACAACGTTTTGAGTTGGCCTTGTCCATTGTAAATTCATGACCTGTAATTGCTTAACAGTTGGTCGTCGAAGAGAAAAGTTGAGTGTCGCATGGAGGTTCTTATCGGATATTCTGTAAATTTACGCAAGCACCAAGGCCAAAAATTGGATATATCAATGGAAAGAGGACATATTTGCATGTAAAACAAAAGAGTGAATATAGTTAAAAATGAAAGGGAAAATAATTTCAAAGGGTCGAAAATTGGGAAACCGCTGGAGTGCTTTGACTATCCATGTCGGCTATCCACTGTTTTTCCTGAGCTGGCCCACCGCAGGCTGGGGACGTTTCAACGTTTCGAAAACCAGCTAAATAAGACCGCTGCGATTGCTACAACCTGGTACACTTGATTCTGACTTCAAGCTTTTAGCATTCATTCTGATACATTATTGAATAAAACTATGGAAAGTAGATATTTCAGCTCACACAAAGTACATCACCTACGTGGAACTGATAACCAATTTTTTTCAGGATATTTTCATCATCAACGTCCAATTTCCGAGGGTCTGATTCGTGACTTGCATCCTGACTGGTGGGAAAGTAGCTTCAAATGTGCTACTGATTTGCAAGTTTCAAGGAGAAGTTCTGGTAATCCGAGAGTCGACCTTCAGTAGTCAGTACCTATAATGGTACTTGTTGAGAAGGCTGAAAGACCTGCTTATAAGCGCCAGAACCAGTTCACAATTCCGAGTTGTGCTTGCTGCTGAAGATGGCCCATAAGGCATGCAAATGTGATGAGTCAGATACCCATGTGTTCTGCCTTACAACGGTACATCCAAGCTCAACAGCGTAAATTTTTGGGATGCAATGGTTTGGTTTGGAGCGTCAGAACGCCACAGATTTCGTCTAGCACATGAGTGATATTTTCGACTGACGACTGACATTGCGGAATGGGTCTTGTTTGTCAGTGCAGTTTCGTACGGGTACGGTTTCCGGGACTTTTCAGACCGACGTGAATTTCGAGTTGGGGGAGTGTATTGGAAGGTCGGCTTTCTGGAGGAAAAGTGAGCTGTTAACTCCACGAGTACCATATTAACATGTTAACATAACAACATATCTTCACAAACACTTTCATAAATCTCATCTAAGTATGATCATTTGTCTGTTTATCCGTAATCTGACCCGCTCAACCATGTTTTCAGGGATTTCATCATCAAGGTATTAGCTGAGCTACAATAAATTCATCGGTTACACTTTCACTTCATTTCATGCAGAAACACCAAATTTACGAGCTGATAGACTTTTGCCATCGGTTCAGAATGATAAAAAGCCTGCTCAAAAGGTAAGTTTGATGGGGGTCTAGGTCTAAAAAACTGATCAAAAGGTAAATCAGCACTCCGAACCAAATATACGTACGAAAGCTCTTTAAATTCGAGGTACTGAGTACCTTGTAATAGCTATTTGGTAGCGGTCTTCAACATCGTTTTTGTCAAGATTGACCTGAACGGACCGATGGGCGGCTTTCCTAGCACAGCTTTCTGATCTATTGCCTTCAACTGCTTTGAAGAATCTGGCCTTGTTGCCGGCTGGTTTTGGTACACAAGCAATTCATCAATTTCGAGCACTGGAATGACATCCTGGCACCCATTTTGCTCAAGAGCTGCTTGATGCTGTTGAAGAACCAGTGTCCGTTCTGTTCAACCGGTGTCTAGCTGCTGGAAAAGTACCCGGTTGTTGTACAGGGATAAAGACTACTCCGGTACTTGAGGGCGATTCTTTGAAGTGTTTGTTTTAGATATTGCTATCTAGTGAACGCACCTTCGTATCACCGGTTTATCCCATTAGGTTACATACATTGTTTAACATTGGACGTTCTCACCTGCCCAATACACTTGATCGTTTACTAAATCGTTTCAAATGACAACATGGATCAGATGGTTTCCTGTACTGTAGCACTGCCACTAGAACGGACGATTGAAGCATATTGCTGCAGATTCCTTTCGATGATGATGGCAGGGACGGTCTAGCCCGGATTTTTACAGACTGGAAAAAGCCCATGGGTCTGGATGGACAGAGTTTCTGAACTCTTCCAACGCAAACTATCCTTCTCCAGGGAACTATTTCCTCTCCTGTTTCCCGGGATGCCTAAATGGAGCCAAAAAGTTTGGGCTGACACTATTAACTCAATTGCCCGTTTATTTTATTCTGCGAGGGACACGTCATAGCTTTCGAAAATTAAATTCCGTTGTGCGGGTACTGGACGCCATATTCCATCCACGGGACACGTCCACACAAACTAGGCTAGTCACAAGAAGTAAATCCAAATTATTTTTGCCGTAGTTACAACTTTATCGAGGAGTTGGTCTTGGACGCTTCCGTAATATGTCCCTCCCAGCATTTTGTTTAAGTGAGCAAAATCCCGAGGTCAGCAACAGCTACCGATTCGCATTTCATAACCTGTTAACGAGATGCAGTCACGCGACTTGCGGCGTCATCCCCATTTTTATTGGTTAAAATCCAAGTGGCGGGAACATTTAAAACTGGCGAAATGGTGGATTTGCGGTTTATGATTGACCCTCTGAAACGAAGCGAAGACTTATAACGCGGCTGTGTCCGTTAAAAATTTACACCGTTAACAGGCTTTTAAATGTAATTAACACAAGGAATGTGCGATTTCCGGTATTTTAAGATAGCTCGGTTGTAAAAAGTTCGATCTTACAGGTTGTTCCCGAAGATATCTATATCTCCAAAGGAAGATGATATTCGGGATTACTGGCGGTAACAAAAGTTTGTTAGTCAGAACAAACAATATTTTAGCAGCCGACGCTGGTGTATTGGTTGTTTGCACTCAGCGTCGTTCAAATGTTATGAAACCGCTATTCTTTCGGATGAAACGAATAGCCTACGTGTAATTGTATAGGTTCCTTTCAATGAATACCTTGAAGGCCATGTGTCATAGGAATTGTGTTCGGTAGCTAAGGGCCCTGATATACTCCTTGACTGTCTTAGGTGCAAGACCCGGTGTGCTCATGGATGGCGCTAACTCTGGTTTATAATGACGGAACCATCGGTGCGTCCTTTGCAGCTAACGGATCAAAGATAGTGTCTGTGTCTAAGCCTGAGTTGGTCACCGATATTCTATTTCTGGTCGTTCACCCTTCAATGTAAAGTATTGTTTGGGCATGAAGAAGGGATTATCAATCATCCCAACACACGGAAAAACGTAAGCATTTGTTGACGTATTTAGTGAGCAATGTATGCTAAGCTTGATTACTTATGTCACATTTGAAGATTTTGAACCTTGAAACTCAGTTGCGGTTGGCAATCATTCGTTCCGTTTGTCGTTGGCGACTCTACGTACTATATAACAACAGACAAGATATCAAGTGTATGGTGCGCCCCTGTCGTAGAATCTTCGGCTTGAATAGTTATATTTCTGTCGATTGCGTAACAAGTAGTCCCATGACATGAAACACCAATGAGACGCAATGAGTGTTTCAGGCACATTTTGGCTGCCGGGCTATTGTATACGACGCTAAACGTATGCTGTTAGGGGCGATCCTATGTTGTCCTAGAAGTTTTCGGGACCAATCTGAGGCGAAACCGGAAAACTACTCTTCCCTTTTCTCACCTACGCAAGCTGGTCTTCAACACAAGGACTGGAGGCCTTGGTTCCCGTGACGCTTGTGTTGTCGGGAGATATGAAACCATTTTTAGGAAAATAATTTTATTATGATTGATTGCAAGCGAATTACAGAATCATCAAAAATGTGTTCTACAGTTGTGCCTGGAAATTAAACGGGAAACGAGTTTGTAAAATGCAACGGAATGAAAACGACCAGATCGGCAAACGTTCGCAAGAATCGACAGAAATCCGACAAACTCAAGCGGACAATTGCCTCGGAGATATCCGATGAGATAGTCCGAGCAACACTTAGATTAGATGACTTGCCTTTGCTGGCGGCCTGTAGTGATACACTACTCTCAGCAGCCGTGGCTGATGGTTGAGTATCGTTCAATGGCAAAATCCACCTACTAGATTCTACGAACGGAATCTGCGACTGACCAGCAGCGAGGGCCATATGGCGACATGGCAATAACCATGCGCTCGTAAAAGTGCACAAGCACTTCATGGGTTCCCTCTCTCTATCCTGGGTGTTTGGCGTCAGCCAACCCAAACACTTTAAATTTGATGGTACTGTCGCCCCCTCTTTTCGGCCACGCACAATTGGAATGCTTACTAGTCTCCTGTACTTGGCTTCCAATTGCTAATTCTTGTTAATAACAGCCTGGACACAGGTGAGCAACGAGGAAGACTCAGTAAACTTCCGCTTAATTTACCCGTTTGCAGATTCAACCCGGTTAGTTGTTTCATTACCGAGGGTCACAGCATGCTTCCGAGCATGCTTTGCCAAGGTACTTAGGTCGCTTACACAATGCTTGCTGAGATATGACCAGTACTCCTGGTTCCGCCCTCTGATGCTGGTGGCATAGACTTCAAACTCGCTCGTTTCCTACAGTGCACAACATGCTTGGACCAGGTGAAAAAAATTTTTTATCTGAATGAGTCACATCCCCAAGCTTATGAATCCCAACCTTCAAGCTTTGGACTCAGATTCCGCAAAAGAATGACACTCACGGTCGTTGAAGTACTCCATCATCTGTCTAGTTACGTCGCGTTCGTCCAAGGATATATCCTGTGAACATACAGGACATTATACAACATTAAACAATCTTACTTGACAACGATCCAGTAAATAAGGTACTCCGCTAAGTTCGTTGAAACCGTGCTGGTGGTGTTTCGCATGTCGCCGGCACCCCGACCGCAAGCGGAGTAAGCGAGGAAGACCATTTGTAGCTCGGCATCAGTTTATATACCATCTTGACATTAGGCCCCTATGGCCTTGATACACCAGCTGCACGGTCCAGACCGCAAGTCGCCGACTCTGTAACGAGATGAAGCACAAAATCAAACTTGAGCATACTGGAGCATTTTGGGGTGCTTTTTACAAGCGAGATAATTCCACACAATATCTACTACATATTTCACCCAGCAAAATATTGTAATAACTTCTGCATGGGTAAAACCACTCAAACGTAATAAACTAGATGAATTTGTTGAGTGAATATCGCCACAACAAAGTTCTCTCGGGAGCTCGCCTCCCGTTCAGTATATCAATGAAAAAAAAATTCCAGGCACTGTACAGTACTGATGATACTATGCACCTCTGCCGATGACCTCCGCCTTCTGATACGCACAGCTAGTCAGTACATCGTGCAGCGTTACCAAATATTTGCACGTTGATGAGCAACAAAACAATATCCGTCCCACTGAAAATAATCGCGCTCCTAAGTTATGATTATGATAGTAGTAATCCCCAAGCTGCTGCATCTTTCCAGTGCCTTACTGCCATGGAACCCGAAGGATGCAAGAGGGATGGGATAATGTCAAGTTCCTTAAGCCTAGATAAAAAAGCAAATAGGCAGAGTACGGGTTCCCACCATAGACATTCCGGTTAGTAAATTCGCGCCACCGGGCGATCTCGCTCGTTAGTTACAGTACGTCATCAAGAGTAATAAGATTAGCTGAAAATAAAGACAAACGTTGCCGGTCATCATGATAACAGTCAGCGCCGTAACATGGATAGTTATCGTAATTGATAGTACCGTGCCGATGTGCGGCGCTGAATACGGGGCCTCAGCTTTGCCGGGTAATCTGATTCAATGACCGAATGCGTCACCAAGCTAAAATCTATGCGGTCCAATGAACATGGTGCGCCAAGTGTGTGTGAAAGCATAATCTAACCCCCAGTGACGCCATTCTGTTACTCATAACTGTACGAGTTGCTGCTGCAATTGCTAAGCGCGTGTCCGTGTGTGAAGCTGGTAATTAGGTCTCAGTTATACACAGTAATCTGATCCAATAGCCAAAGATGTCTCTTCTTGCTCATCACTCTGCGCGATATCCAGCCCCTTAGCTAATTACAGTAACCAATTGGCCTACACAAATGCACGGCTGGTGATGAGGCTCAAGCTAACCATAATAAGCTAATCAATAACCAGTAAAGGGTTTTCATACTCAGTCCTGTTCAAATTGTTGCTCACGCTGGCAACCTATATTACAATAAATTGGTACAGACATGAGCCCAAGGATCCATGGGCCGCATACGTCACCGAAAGTGCACCTGCTGATGAAACCGTAGCAGACAACTCGTGAGTATGCAGGTATTTGTGCCAAATCTGCACATTCACGGATTCACGGATTCATGGATATGGGCCGCATCACCGAAAGTGCACCTGCTGATGAAACCGTAGCAGACAACTCGTGAGTATGCAGGTATTTGTGCCAAATCTGCACATTCATTCATTCACGGATTCATGGATTGATACACAGGGTCGAGGCTTTTGCCCAAGTTTCCCGGATCGGTTTTGTTCTCGTCGGTCAGTGGCTGCCGTTCACCTGAAAGACACAAGTGAAAAAAGGGTGTAGCACTGCTGTTTATGTTCTCAGCGCGGGGCAGTATGCTTGCCAGCGCGAGGATTCGCATAAATAAATGTCTAATAGGGCTTTAAACTGGGTTCTAGAAGGAGCGTGGACAACCGTCCGAGTGAATTCATTCCACGCACCTAATACCCGAAATGAGAAAAATTTTTGTCTAATGAATGTGTGTGCCCTGACTTTGAAAATGAGTTGAGATCCTTTTTCCAGAAGTCCACGAATCCTTTCTGGCTTCCTGCGGTTCATCCGAGTGCGTGCCGGTTGTTCGGGACGAACGTCGCCTCAGCCTCTTGAACTTTCCGGATAATGGGCCTATATAGTTCTTCCACCGGAACTGATCCTATTGTGACTTGTTCGTTAAAAGCATTAAATCTCAGCCTCACTCAACTTCCGCCTACCGATACCGAAAACAATTTCTACACTATCCGAGCGGACAGGCAAATATGACGGCCACATCAGATATATTCGAACTGCCTTTGATAATGATAATGAACCAGCCGCTGACTGCAGGGTTTACTGTGTCCCACCTCCCATGAACAACTGTCCTTTAAAACAACCAAGTAACATACACCGCTACCAGCATACCACCAACAACTGCGGTACCAAGACAACGGTTACAAAATGCTTGGAGAAGTTTCAGTTCCGC